TTTGGGCGAATTTTTGAGTTTCGATATCTCAGCTCTGGAAGGGGCTAGAGCCTCCATTTTTGCACTCAGGTCTAAGTCTCATGGCCCTCTATCAGAATCCAGAGTTTTGGGAAGATTGGAGAAACTTAATTTTTCGCCCAAAAAAAAAAACGTAAGGGGTACCACTGTCGTTTTTTTTTTCGGGCCGAATTTTTGAGTTTCGATATCTCAGCTCTGGAAGGGGCTAGAGCCTCCATTTTTGCACTCAGGTCTAAGTCTCATGGCCCTCTATCAGAATCCAGAGTTTTGGGAAGATTGGAGAAACTTAATTTTTCGCCCAAAAAAAAAAAACGTAAGGGGTACCACTGTCGTTTTTTTTTTCGGGCCGAATTTTTGAGTTTCGATATCTCAGCTCTGGAAGGGGCTAGAGCCTCCATTTTTGCACTCAGGTCTAAGTCTCATGGCCCTCTATCAGAATCCAGAGTTTTGGGAAGATTGGAGAAACTTAATTTTTCGCCCAAAAAAAAAAAACGTAAGGGGTACCACTGTCGTTTTTTTTTCGGGCCGAATTTTTGAGTTTCGATATCTCAGCTCTGGAAGGGGCTAGAGCCTCCATTTTTGCACTCAGGTCTAAGTCTCATGGCCCTCTATCAGAATCCAGAGTTTTGGGAAGATTGGAGAAACTTAATTTTTCGCCCAAAAAAAAAAAACGTAAGGGGTACCACTGTCGTTTTTTTTTCGGGCCGAATTTTTGAGTTTCGATATCTCAGCTCTGGAAGGGGCTAGAGCCTCCATTTTTGCACTCAGGTCTAAGTCTCATGGCCCTCTATCAGAATCCAGAGTTTTGGAAGATTGGAGAAACTTAATTTTTCGCCCAAAAAAAAAAAACGTAAGGGGTACCACTGTCGTTTTTTTTTTCGGGCCGAATTTTTGAGTTTCGATATCTCAGCTCTGGAAGGGGCTAGAGCCTCCATTTTTGCACTCAGGTCTAAGTCTCATGGCCCTCTATCAGAATCCAGAGTTTTGGGAAGATTGGAGAAACTTAATTTTTCGCCCAAAAAAAAAAACGTAAGGGGTACCACTGTCGTTTTTTTTTCGGGCCGAATTTTTGAGTTTCGATATCTCAGCTCTGGAAGGGGCTAGAGCCTCCATTTTTGCACTCAGGTCTAAGTCTCATGGCCCTCTATCAGAATCCAGAGTTTTGGGAAGATTGGAGAAACTTAATTTTTCGCCCAAAAAAAAAAACGTAAGGGGTACCACTGTCGTTTTTTTTTTCGGGCCGAATTTTTGAGTTTCGATATCTCAGCTCTGGAAGGGGCTAGAGCCTCCATTTTTGCACTCAGGTCTAAGTCTCATGGCCCTCTATCAGAATCCAGAGTTTTGGGAAGATTGGAGAAACTTAATTTTTCGCCCAAAAAAAAAAACGTAAGGGGTACCACTGTCGTTTTTTTTTCGGGCCGAATTTTTGAGTTTCGATATCTCAGCTCTGGAAGGGGCTAGAGCCTCCATTTTTGCACTCAGGTCTAAGTCTCATGGCCCTCTATCAGAATCCAGAGTTTTGGGAAGATTGGAGAAACTTAATTTTTCGCCCAAAAAAAAAAACGTAAGGGGTACCACTGTCGTTTTTTTTTCGGGCCGAATTTTTGAGTTTCGATATCTCAGCTCTGGAAGGGGCTAGAGCCTCCATTTTTGCACTCAGGTCTAAGTCTCATGGCCCTCTATCAGAATCCAGAGTTTTGGGAAGATTGGAGAAACTTAATTTTTCGCCCAAAAAAAAAAAACGTAAGGGGTACCACTGTCGTTTTTTTTTTCGGGCCGAATTTTTGAGTTTCGATATCTCAGCTCTGGAAGGGGCTAGAGCCTCCATTTTTGCACTCAGGTCTAAGTCTCATGGCCCTCTATCAGAATCCAGAGTTTTGGGAAGATTGGAGAAACTTAATTTTTCGCCCAAAAAAAAAAAACGTAAGGGGTACCACTGTCGTTTTTTTTTCGGGCCGAATTTTTGAGTTTCGATATCTCAGCTCTGGAAGGGGCTAGAGCCTCCATTTTTGCACTCAGGTCTAAGTCTCATGGCCCTCTATCAGAATCCAGAGTTTTGGGAAGATTGGAGAAACTTAATTTTTCGCCCAAAAAAAAAAACGTAAGGGGTACCACTGTCGTTTTTTTTTCGGGCCGAATTTTTGAGTTTCGATATCTCAGCTCTGGAAGGGGCTAGAGCCTCCATTTTTGCACTCAGGTCTAAGTCTCATGGCCCTCTATCAGAATCCAGAGTTTTGGGAAGATTGGAGAAACTTAATTTTTCGCCCAAAAAAAAAAACGTAAGGGGTACCACTGTCGTTTTTTTTTCGGGCCGAATTTTTGAGTTTCGATATCTCAGCTCTGGAAGGGGCTAGAGCCTCCATTTTTGCACTCAGGTCTAAGTCTCATGGCCCTCTATCAGAATCCAGAGTTTTGGGAAGATTGGAGAAACTTAATTTTTCGCCCAAAAAAAAAAACGTAAGGGGTACCACTGTCGTTTTTTTTTTCGGGCCGAATTTTTGAGTTTCGATATCTCAGCTCTGGAAGGGGCTAGAGCCTCCATTTTTGCACTCAGGTCTAAGTCTCATGGCCCTCTATCAGAATCCAGAGTTTTGGGAAGATTGGAGAAACTTAATTTTTCGCCCAAAAAAAAAAACGTAAGGGGTACCACTGTCGTTTTTTTTTTCGGGCCGAATTTTTGAGTTTCGATATCTCAGCTCTGGAAGGGGCTAGAGCCTCCATTTTTGCACTCAGGTCTAAGTCTCATGGCCCTCTATCAGAATCCAGAGTTTTGGGAAGATTGGAGAAACTTAATTTTTCGCCCAAAAAAAAAAACGTAAGGGGTACCACTGTCGTTTTTTTTTTCGGGCCGAATTTTTGAGTTTCGATATCTCAGCTCTGGAAGGGGCTAGAGCCTCCATTTTTGCACTCAGGTCTAAGTCTCATGGCCCTCTATCAGAATCCAGAGTTTTGGGAAGATTGGAGAAACTTAATTTTTCGCCCAAAAAAAAAAACGTAAGGGGTACCACTGTCGTTTTTTTTTCGGGCCGAATTTTTGAGTTTCGATATCTCAGCTCTGGAAGGGGCTAGAGCCTCCATTTTTGCACTCAGGTCTAAGTCTCATGGCCCTCTATCAGAATCCAGAGTTTTGGGAAGATTGGAGAAACTTAATTTTTCGCCCAAAAAAAAAAACGTAAGGGGTACCACTGTCGTTTTTTTTTCGGGCCGAATTTTTGAGTTTCGATATCTCAGCTCTGGAAGGGGCTAGAGCCTCCATTTTTGCACTCAGGTCTAAGTCTCATGGCCCTCTATCAGAATCCAGAGTTTTGGGAAGATTGGAGAAACTTAATTTTTCGCCCAAAAAAAAAAACGTAAGGGGTACCACTGTCGTTTTTTTTTCGGGCCGAATTTTTGAGTTTCGATATCTCAGCTCTGGAAGGGGCTAGAGCCTCCATTTTTGCACTCAGGTCTAAGTCTCATGGCCCTCTATCAGAATCCAGAGTTTTGGGAAGATTGGAGAAACTTAATTTTTCGCCCAAAAAAAAAAAACGTAAGGGGTACCACTGTCGTTTTTTTTTTCGGGCCGAATTTTTGAGTTTCGATATCTCAGCTCTGGAAGGGGCTAGAGCCTCCATTTTTGCACTCAGGTCTAAGTCTCATGGCCCTCTATCAGAATCCAGAGTTTTGGGAAGATTGGAGAAACTTAATTTTTCGCCCAAAAAAAAAAAACGTAAGGGGTACCACTGTCGTTTTTTTTTCGGGCCGAATTTTTGAGTTTCGATATCTCAGCTCTGGAAGGGGCTAGAGCCTCCATTTTTGCACTCAGGTCTAAGTCTCATGGCCCTCTATCAGAATCCAGAGTTTTGGGAAGATTGGAGAAACTTAATTTTTCGCCCAAAAAAAAAAACGTAAGGGGTACCACTGTCGTTTTTTTTTCGGGCCGAATTTTTGAGTTTCGATATCTCAGCTCTGGAAGGGGCTAGAGCCTCCATTTTTGCACTCAGGTCTAAGTCTCATGGCCCTCTATCAGAATCCAGAGTTTTGGGAAGATTGGAGAAACTTAATTTTTCGCCCAAAAAAAAAAAACGTAAGGGGTACCACTGTCGTTTTTTTTTCGGGCCGAATTTTTGAGTTTCGATATCTCAGCTCTGGAAGGGGCTAGAGCCTCCATTTTTGCACTCAGGTCTAAGTCTCATGGCCCTCTATCAGAATCCAGAGTTTTGGGAAGATTGGAGAAACTTAATTTTTCGCCCAAAAAAAAAAACGTAAGGGGTACCACTGTCGTTTTTTTTTCGGGCCGAATTTTTGAGTTTCGATATCTCAGCTCTGGAAGGGGCTAGAGCCTCCATTTTTGCACTCAGGTCTAAGTCTCATGGCCCTCTATCAGAATCCAGAGTTTTGGGAAGATTGGAGAAACTTAATTTTTCGCCCAAAAAAAAAAAACGTAAGGGGTACCACTGTCGTTTTTTTTTCGGGCCGAATTTTTGAGTTTCGATATCTCAGCTCTGGAAGGGGCTAGAGCCTCCATTTTTGCACTCAGGTCTAAGTCTCATGGCCCTCTATCAGAATCCAGAGTTTTGGGAAGATTGGAGAAACTTAATTTTTCGCCCAAAAAAAAAAACGTAAGGGGTACCACTGTCGTTTTTTTTTTCGGGCCGAATTTTTGAGTTTCGATATCTCAGCTCTGGAAGGGGCTAGAGCCTCCATTTTTGCACTCAGGTCTAAGTCTCATGGCCCTCTATCAGAATCCAGAGTTTTGGGAAGATTGGAGAAACTTAATTTTTCGCCCAAAAAAAAAACGTAAGGGGTACCACTGTCGTTTTTTTTTCGGGCCGAATTTTTGAGTTTCGATATCTCAGCTCTGGAAGGGGCTAGAGCCTCCATTTTTGCACTCAGGTCTAAGTCTCATGGCCCTCTATCAGAATCCAGAGTTTTGGGAAGATTGGAGAAACTTAATTTTTCGCCCAAAAAAAAAAACGTAAGGGGTACCACTGTCGTTTTTTTTTCGGGCCGAATTTTTGAGTTTCGATATCTCAGCTCTGGAAGGGGCTAGAGCCTCCATTTTTGCACTCAGGTCTAAGTCTCATGGCCCTCTATCAGAATCCAGAGTTTTGGGAAGATTGGAGAAACTTAATTTTTCGCCCAAAAAAAAAAAACGTAAGGGGTACCACTGTCGTTTTTTTTTCGGGCCGAATTTTTGAGTTTCGATATCTCAGCTCTGGAAGGGGCTAGAGCCTCCATTTTTGCACTCAGGTCTAAGTCTCATGGCCCTCTATCAGAATCCAGAGTTTTGGGAAGATTGGAGAAACTTAATTTTTCGCCCAAAAAAAAAACGTAAGGGGTACCACTGTCGTTTTTTTTTCGGGCCGAATTTTTGAGTTTCGATATCTCAGCTCTGGAAGGGGCTAGAGCCTCCATTTTTGCACTCAGGTCTAAGTCTCATGGCCCTCTATCAGAATCCAGAGTTTTGGGAAGATTGGAGAAACTTAATTTTTCGCCCAAAAAAAAAAACGTAAGGGGTACCACTGTCGTTTTTTTTTTCGGGCCGAATTTTTGAGTTTCGATATCTCAGCTCTGGAAGGGGCTAGAGCCTCCATTTTTGCACTCAGGTCTAAGTCTCATGGCCCTCTATCAGAATCCAGAGTTTTGGGAAGATTGGAGAAACTTAATTTTTCGCCCAAAAAAAAAAAACGTAAGGGGTACCACTGTCGTTTTTTTTTCGGGCCGAATTTTTGAGTTTCGATATCTCAGCTCTGGAAGGGGCTAGAGCCTCCATTTTTGCACTCAGGTCTAAGTCTCATGGCCCTCTATCAGAATCCAGAGTTTTGGGAAGATTGGAGAAACTTAATTTTTCGCCCAAAAAAAAAAAACGTAAGGGGTACCACTGTCGTTTTTTTTTTCGGCCGAATTTTTGAGTTTCGATATCTCAGCTCTGGAAGGGGCTAGAGCCTCCATTTTTGCACTCAGGTCTAAGTCTCATGGCCCTCTATCAGAATCCAGAGTTTTGGGAAGATTGGAGAAACTTAATTTTTCGCCCAAAAAAAAAAACGTAAGGGGTACCACTGTCGTTTTTTTTTCGGGCCGAATTTTTGAGTTTCGATATCTCAGCTCTGGAAGGGGCTAGAGCCTCCATTTTTGCACTCAGGTCTAAGTCTCATGGCCCTCTATCAGAATCCAGAGTTTTGGGAAGATTGGAGAAACTTAATTTTTCGCCCAAAAAAAAAAACGTAAGGGGTACCACTGTCGTTTTTTTTTTCGGGCCGAATTTTTGAGTTTCGATATCTCAGCTCTGGAAGGGGCTAGAGCCTCCATTTTTGCACTCAGGTCTAAGTCTCATGGCCCTCTATCAGAATCCAGAGTTTTGGGAAGATTGGAGAAACTTAATTTTTCGCCCAAAAAAAAAAAACGTAAGGGGTACCACTGTCGTTTTTTTTTCGGGCCGAATTTTTGAGTTTCGATATCTCAGCTCTGGAAGGGGCTAGAGCCTCCATTTTTGCACTCAGGTCTAAGTCTCATGGCCCTCTATCAGAATCCAGAGTTTTGGGAAGATTGGAGAAACTTAATTTTTCGCCCAAAAAAAAAAAACGTAAGGGGTACCACTGTCGTTTTTTTTTCGGGCCGAATTTTTGAGTTTCGATATCTCAGCTCTGGAAGGGGCTAGAGCCTCCATTTTTGCACTCAGGTCTAAGTCTCATGGCCCTCTATCAGAATCCAGAGTTTTGGGAAGATTGGAGAAACTTAATTTTTCGCCCAAAAAAAAAAACGTAAGGGGTACCACTGTCGTTTTTTTTTCGGGCCGAATTTTTGAGTTTCGATATCTCAGCTCTGGAAGGGGCTAGAGCCTCCATTTTTGCACTCAGGTCTAAGTCTCATGGCCCTCTATCAGAATCCAGAGTTTTGGGAAGATTGGAGAAACTTAATTTTTCGCCCAAAAAAAAAAACGTAAGGGGTACCACTGTCGTTTTTTTTTCGGGCCGAATTTTTGAGTTTCGATATCTCAGCTCTGGAAGGGGCTAGAGCCTCCATTTTTGCACTCAGGTCTAAGTCTCATGGCCCTCTATCAGAATCCAGAGTTTTGGGAAGATTGGAGAAACTTAATTTTTCGCCCGAAAAAAAAACGTAAGGGGTACCACTGTCGTTTTTTTTTCGGGCCGAATTTTTGAGTTTCGATATCTCAGCTCTGGAAGGGGCTAGAGCCTCCATTTTTGCACTCAGGTCTAAGTCTCATGGCCCTCTATCAGAATCCAGAGTTTTGGGAAGATTGGAGAAACTTAATTTTTCGCCCAAAAAAAAAAACGTAAGGGGTACCACTGTCGTTTTTTTTTCGGGCCGAATTTTTGAGTTTCGATATCTCAGCTCTGGAAGGGGCTAGAGCCTCCATTTTTGCACTCAGGTCTAAGTCTCATGGCCCTCTATCAGAATCCAGAGTTTTGGAAGATTGGAGAAACTTAATTTTTCGCCCGAAAAAAAAAAAACGTAAGGGAAAAAAAAATGGCGTTTTTTTTTCGTGCCGAATTTTTGAGTTTCGATATCTCAGCTTTGGAAAGGGCTAGAGCCTCCATTTTTGCACTCAGGTCTAAGTCTCATGGCCCTCTATCCGAATCCAGAGTTTTGGGAAGATTGGAGAAACTTAATTTTTCGCCCGAAAAAAAAAAAACGTAAGGGGTACCACTGTCGTTTTTTTTTTCATGCCGAATTTTTGAGTTTCGATATCTCAGCTCTGGAAGGGTTTAGAGCCTCCAATTTTTCCACGCAGGTCTAAGTCCCATGGCCCTCTATCAGAATCCAGAGTTTCAAGAAGATTGGAACAACTCAAAATTTGGTCCGGAAAAAAACGACAGTGGTACCCCTTTTTTGGTGCGAAAAAATAAGTTCCTCCAATCTTCTTGAAACTCTGGATTCTGATAGAGGGCCATGAGACTTAGACCTGAGTGCAAAAAGGGAGGCTCTAGACCCTTCAGAGCTGAGATATTGAGATATTTATAATGGCGCAAAGCTACACTATTAAACAATTGACTATGTAATGCCAGTTTGGGTGTGTGTGAAGTTAATCAAAGAGACAAGAAACGTAAAGGAAATCTTTATTGCCAATAAAAATAGTTCTTTTAGGGAATATGACAAAAAATATCAAAAGTGACAATATTTCTTGAGTTTTCAACTCCAGTGGTTTTAGATGATAATATACAATGAATCCCAATGGCACACGAGTCTGCTTAGGAACAGCCACAGTAAATCGCCCTCCCTCACAGTGTTTTTAAACATCTAAATATTCCCATAAAACCCATTTAATGGTGTTTGGTCAGGATTGTATCAGTGACATGTACTAATTAAAGCTGAAACAAAATAAATCCAGTGCCTTTCCTCTGGTCCTGTCATTGATCAGTGGTGTCTTGCCACTTACAGTGCTTTTCATTTAACTACATACATGGGTGTCATGAAAGTAACCATAAATATCGGTTTAAATTAAAGGCTAAGCAAACCCACCACCTGTTGATTTGATAGTGTCAGTGTACGCGGAGTATTTAGGGGTTAATGCAGGTGTGGTCTATAAGGCAGGGCAGCCCTGAGTCCCCACAGATCCAGACACAGATGAGGGTTTTGACAGCATGACAGTCCTGTGGTTCAGTACGGCTTTCCTCACGCACCCATGGAAAGGGAGGACGGCGGATGGGAGACCTGGTACAGCTATGGTATCTGCACACGAGAGGACAAAAGGCTTAATTACATTGAGCATCTTACCTCATTATATCAATGCAAGATTCTTGATTTGAAACCAGATAGGAATTGTAAAAGCGTTCAGGTGTCATACCCGGTTTGCTGCCCAGATAAACGGACTCTTTGCCCCCGTTTGATCCTCTCTGTTTGGGACCCACTCCATGCTCACTCGCCGAATCCACGTGTAGCTGGATGACATTGCTCTTCTTCACAACTAAAATCACAAATATTAACATGTGGAATTATATGGCAAACGGATTAGAACAGATACTCTTGGAGTCTCTATGCATGTTAACCCTTGTATTCTGCTTGGAGGAATAATGGTTGCTGTGCTTAAGTATATTTTTCAAGTATCTGTACTTTTAGTATTTTTATTTTGGGAAACTTTTCCTTTACTAGAGCCTCCATTTTTGTACTCAGCTCTAAGTCCCATGGCCCTCTATCAGAATCCAGAGTTTCGAGAAGATCAGAGCAACTCAAAATTTCGACCCGAAAAAAACGACAGTGGTACCCCTTTCGTTTTTTTTTTTTGGCGCGAAAAAATAAGTTTCTCCAATCTTCTTGAAACTCTGGATTCTGATAGAGGGCCATGGGACTTAGACCTGAGTACAAAAATGGAGGCTCTAGACCCTTCCAGAGCTGGGATATTGAGATATTTATAATGGCATAAATGCTACGTGGGATCTCAATATCTCAGCTCTGGAAAGGTCTAGAGCCTCCATTTTTGCACTAAGGTCTAAGTCCCATGGCCCTGTTCCTTTACTTCACTAGATTCCAAAGCATCATTTTGTAATTTTTACTCTACTACATTTGTTATGTGTGTGTACTGAGCCATTAGTGTGTGTGCTATTTTTTTTTTGAGTTTACAGATGGCGATGTAGAGGTTGTACAGCGGAAGCAAAGTGACGTCATGGGAGTTCCTGCTATTTAAGCGGTGCCGGCTCTGATGTCACTCTCTCTCACATCTCCTCTGCTCTCCTCTTCTCTCCGCGTACGGCCGCCTGATTACCAGCTGGGGTTTTCTCACCTTACGGCGTGATCACCTGTGTTTGTCGTCTCGCCATACGAGAATGATTGTTTTCTTTTGGTTCTAGTTTATTTGTTTAAACCAGGTAGTGGCTTTATTTTCTTTGTACACTTTTTATTATTTATTTAGTATAGTGAAGGGAAGCAGCTGCCCGGAAGATTCACCCGTTTTATTTCTTTTCGGGAGCCAGGTAAGATCTCTCCGGGATGAAGTATAGGGTTAGTCAGGGTATCTGTTTTTCCTTTACCGGCTCTACCTGTGTTACTTATTTTGATTAATTTATGATTTATTGTTTGCTCATCTCTCAAGGCCTCTCTTATTAAAACTATGGTGTGTCAACACCAGAAACGCTACCCCAATCGTCTGTGATTTCTAATATGTTCGGTCCTTTGTCTATTGGAGAATTTGAAACGAGCTGAACTAGATTAAGGGCTGTAACAACATTCCACAAAAACATGGTCCCTAATTAAATTGTATTACGGTATCTGTACTTTTAGTTTTACTCAAGTGCTTGATTTGTGTTCTTCACCCACCTTTGGAAAAAATAGATCTAATCTTAATTTCTTGTGAAATGCCCTCAATTTTCATAATAAAATTAATACAAACTAATTTGATTTCATAAATAATGGTCATATTATATACAATACAGGCATTTGTTTCTACCACCACCGACTAACACATAGCCAGGTAAAATACGTCTACATAAGCATACCCATTTTCACATCTAGATAAGCATATGCCCATTTTCAAAAGGCATAACATATGTATTTTTTATTTAAAATGCACCACAGGAGTTAAATGCAGTATGAATGTTTTTCAATGGTATGACTCACTTGTAACAGTGTGCCAACCTCCGTCACAGAGAGACTCCTCTGGTGTGAGACTGACTGAAAACTCTCCACTGCCACTGTTCACCAACACAGTCACCTGCACAGAACCAACAGACACTTCAAACCCGTCCCAATGACCATCAGACCAAGCCTAAATGACTTCATAACTACGTTTATATGGACACCTTCTGTTTAAAAAGAACTCTGAACATTGTGTTTACATGAATTTCCCTCCGTTGACGCATACTAACCGTCATGCTGCCATCACTTCTGTTCTTTGTTTTAAAAAGCAGACTTAACATTTATCTATTTCAGGTCCTAAAAAAGCCTCTTTCCAACCAGTAAAAAGGCCTCCTGTGCCCAAAACAAGGCGTTACATCATTACACTATTTCTAAGATATCCCACACGCACAGAACATTCCAGTTTCGGTTTTCAATCGAGTATTTACATGTCCTATCGAATGGATTAGAAAAGGTTTAACCCATAGATATCCATAATAAAGGCTAGATGTTTCATCTGCGCTGCTGGCCAATGGAGATCAACGTCTGCACCTGGCGGCCATCTTGTCACAGTCAGCTCGCTCACCCGTAACAATGTGTTTTAATGGTTTATGTACTTTTTAAATAACCATAACTTGCTCAATTTTCTAATGATTTTTAAACGGTTTGGTTTGTTATAAACGTAAGAGATGTAGCTATGACACTGCATACTTATGAACAATAAGTGTATAAATAAATAATCATCCATAATTATAGCCACGCTAATAACCAAACCGTTTGTAAATCCGCCAAGATTTCACCGAACCACCTCTTACAATCCAAATGAAATTCAAAAATTTGATTTGGCCAATTCATTCTGTTTGACATGCTACAAGTCCGATTACAAATGGATTATTAGGTCCATGTAAATGCAGATACTGGCAAAATGGGGTCCAATTGACCTTAAAGAATAAAAACATACATCTCATTTAACCAAGTAAGAGTCACAGGTCCTTTAATAGGTTGTGTGTGTGTGTGTGTGTGTGTGTGTCACCTGGCCCTGGTTCAGATAGAGACTCAGCTGTTGAGTTTTCTTGGCTCCAGCGTGCAGCAGGAGCCCGGAGTCTGAAAGCACACGGACCTCCAGCTGGATCTCGAGGTCCCGACCCAACACCAGCGATTCATCTAACATGCAGAGACGGAGAGAATGAAATCTGAAGTGTGTTTGACTGACTGATCAAGGGGACTGATGTGAAGTGAGAGGCTCACCAATGGTCAGATATCCGCCCTGACTGGAGAAGTGGACCCCGGGCTGGAGGGGCTGCTGGTAGCAGGGTGTCACTCCCACACTGTGAGGCGGGCTCTGTGGCGGCAGCTCGTTCAGTTTCAGATCCTGAACACATCCAACGAAACCAGCCTGACAGAGAGAAACAGAAAGAAACAAAAGTCAACATCACAAAAGCAGTTTGGTACCAATTTGCTCTCAGAACAATATATTCAGATAGGTACAATCTCTAATCCTAAACCTGAAGAGTGCTGCATAGTTAAAGGAGAACTTCACTTTTGAAAAAACTTTTGCTGATAATTTACTCACCCCCATGTCATCCAAGATATCCATGTCTTTCTTTCTTCAGTCGAAAAGAAATGAAGGTTTTTGATGAAAACATTCCAGGATTTTTCTCCATATAATGGACTTCAATGGGAACCAAACGGTTCAAGGTCCAAAAGAGAGTTTCAGTGCAAACTTTAAACTGTTCAAAGGGCTTTAAATGATTCCAGACGATGAATAAGGGTCTTATCAAGCGAAACGAGCACTCATTTAAAAAAAAAATGAAACTAATCATCAAAACAAACGAATTGACTCGGAAAAAGATTAGTTCATTTTGATGATTAGTTTCATTTTTGTTTTTAAATGAGTGATCGTTTCGCTTGATAAGACCCTTATTCATTGAAAAATCCTGGCATGTTTTCATCAAAAACCTTAATTTCTTTTCGACTGAAGAAAGAAAGACATGGACATCTTGGATGACATGGGGGTGAGTAGATTATCAGCAAAAGTTTTTTCAAAAGTGAACTACTCCTTTAATAATGATTTATTACCAACAAAATAATACAATATTAAAACAATAGAACAAACAAATATATTTATATTTTTACATTATTATCTAAATAAAATATTACTATTAAAATAGAAATAAAAATAGTTCAATCGAATTAAAACGAACATTTCTTATCCAACATTTGTGCGTGCAACTCAATTTTGAGTCATTTGCTTTGCAATATTTGTGACGGGTTGAGTTTCCGCCAATGTTGAGTGTTTCGGTGCAGTGTGACTGTAGGTTCAGTCAGGTTCTCTGACGCCACACCCCCGATTGATTTCTCACGCTGAAGTGTCAACCTGGTCCATCAAATGCCTGAAAGATACGTTTATCTATAGATCTACCTGTTGAGCCACTCGTGATCGACTAGTTTTACCGCAAATTAGTTAAAATGCCCTGATCTAGAGCGAGCGTGCACGCGAGACAGATGTTGAGCCCCTAACCGCACACGACGGCAGAGAGGTAAGTGAGCGAGAGACTTTGCGTGTGCAGACCCCCCCTCCCGTTGGAGAAGTCTCACGCCTAAAGTCAAAGGTTGGCAGCTCTGGTTCAGTGGCTCTGAAGAGAGCTATAGTGTGCGTTTACCTCAGCTGCGCTGTGGTCTGAGGGAAGTCCACCGATGTAGAAAGGAGCACCAAACTGACTCCTCCCTCCACCCGTCACCTTCTTGTTCTGGGTGTCGATGCCGTCCGCTATCAGATAGGCCCTGTCACCCTCCACTTTCACAATCACCTGCGTGAGTGCATTGTAAAAAATGAGAGATTTTGAAATAATTACACATTTATGTCCAAAAACATGCCGTCCACATACTAACCGTGTGCCACAGGCCGTCGTTGTATTTATTTGTGCTGCGCATTGTAGTCTTCCTCCGCCCGCCATTGACCTTCAGCGTCAGATGGCCATCAGACACAGAGAGCGTCATGGTTCTCTGGCCCTTCTCTCCTGCGTGGAAAACCAGTCCACTCGAAGAGTTCATGCGCACACCCAGAGAGATGTGTGGCCTGCAAATGAAGTTTACAATGCATTATACGTTACCGTAGATTTTTGATCTTTGATATTAGTTACTTTTTTGATTAATATTATTTATATTTTACAGATTTTTAACAGTGCATGCTCATTTACCATATCTTTACATTTAGATTACATTTTCTGTAATCTAATGATCACTTAAAGTTAATCAGTAATCATCTAGTTTTGACATGTAATATCAAAAGTACTGACTTTATTTTTAGTGTGTTTTAATGACAAAACATACAAAGTACACAACTTTAATATCAGCCATTGATTTAGCCATCAGTCATAACAAGAGTTTATCAACTACATGTGGTTTAAAGCTAGCCTGGCATGCCAGACCTATCAAAAGTAGCTCTGGGAACTCATCATTGACAGGGCTCAATCCGAGGGGCGGGATCAACAGTTGTCTTTCAAATTCTCGCTGCACGCAATTGGATAGCCCTACAACCAATCAGAGCAACGAAGAAGGTGACGGCTGAGTCCCATGCGTTTTCCCACCAGTGGAGCAATTTGATATATTAAACTTTTACTGTATCCAGTCGGCAAAACTCCGAACTGACTTTAAAATGACTCAAATGCCGTTCTTTGTTCTGGTTTCAAAGAAAAGCTTAAGTTCAAATTATCCAGAGTAGCGGTCAAAGACGAATCGAAAGACAGCTGTTCGTCAGCAGCAGCCATTCTTTGTTTTCAAGTAGCAGTGAACCGTCGCAACTCCGTCGTTGTTATGTTAAGCCCGTCGACTCTATACACGATGTGATTGGCCTGACCAGAGTTTGTTTTTTCCAGCTAAAACGTCTATGGAGAGTTGCTAGACCCCACTGGCTTTTTTGCTGCCGCTAGGGTGCGTCTAGATTTCTAGGCTAGTTTAAAGCAGTTTTTTGAAACACTCACGCCTTGCTAAACGCCTGAGGCAGTGAATCAAATCTCAGGTGGCTGTGGGAGGAGCCACTGAAATGGTGGGCGTCGACCTCCTGCACGGACATCTCTCCCTGGCAGGACTTGAGCAGCAATCGAGTTCTCGAACTTCCTTGAGGCTTGTTCTGTATTTTTACAAACACACATATTTCATATGCTCTTTTAAAATAATTAGAATATTTAATAGAAATGATCATATAATAAACTAATATAATCAAGAACTAATTAATATGAACAAAAATGAACTCTTCCTTCTGCATTAAAATGTATAAACATTTTCTTAATAAAATAAAGTGATTATTTCATTACTTAACATTCATAAAAACAATAATATTTATAAAATAAACTATGTGTTCTTATTAAAATAATGATTCTACAATGTTAAACAATATAATATTCAAAATAAAATATTTATGTGTTCTTATTAAAATATGATTATATATATATATATATATATATATATATTAGGGCTGTCAAACGATTAATCGTGATTAATCGCATTCAAAATAAAAGTTTGTGTTTACATAATATATGTGGGTACACTGTGTATAATTATTTTATATATATAAATAAACACACCTGCTTGTATATATTTAAGAAATATTTTCATGGATTTACTGTATATAGATTTATGTATAATTTATATTATATATAAATAATTTATATATAAATAATATTTTTACTAAATATACATGCATGTGTGTGTATTTATATATATATACAAAATAATTATACACAGTGCACCCACATATATTATGTAAACACAAACTTTTATTTTGGATGTGATTAATCGCGACTAATCGTTTGACAGCCCTAATATATATATATATAAAATAAAACATTCTTCAGTCTTTAAATCAGTACCTTTGGATTCTTTCGTCGTGGTGAATCCAGGATCTCCAGTGGGACTGAAGCGGCGGGGCAAACAAAGGTGTATTTGTGTCCCTCTTGAGCTAATTTCAGATCTACGACCTTGGTTTCATCAGTTCTAAGAACACAATGCAGAAATTAAAACAGCAGATCTAACTGTAACCTTTCATACAGCCTATACATTCATACATGAGATTCAATTGGATGATTCATTTAGCATGATTCATCATTGCTCACTCTCAGCATCACACACACACACACACACACCTCTTCAAGAAGAAGTTGCTGAGGCAGCCAGTGAGGTTGGTGAGGCCGTTTGACACGGGTGTGCCGCCCACATAGGTAATGTCAGGCAGCAGCGCCGCCCTGCTGGTGCCCGCACTGACAGCTTCTCCTCCACTCTCAAGGACATCATCTATATAAATGCGCAACCTAAACAAAAGACAGAAATAGTCTTAACCCTGTACACAAACACAATCTAAAAATATATCTATAACAAACATAGTGGCGTACCCATTTGCGTTGCGGTAAAATGCAACATAGTGACTGTTGTCGTCGTTGTATGTCTTCTGAGACTTGACTCCTTCGTTGCCAGCACTTACTACTACATGGCCGCTGTTTAAGACCACCTGACACACATCACTCTGAAGAGACACAAACATTATATTGTTTTATGTGCTTCAAATATGATAAGAAAAACTGTGATCCGAGTGATTTGTACCCCGCCTTGATGGTAAAACATGAGTCCATTTTGCTGATCTGTTCTGAAGCCGATGCCAGCATACAAGTTTTCTGGAAGATCCAGTACATTCTCCATCTTTAAGCCTAGGTAACCATCACCAGTGAAGTGAGCCTCACGAGTAAACTAAAAAACAAACACACATAAACACACGTCTTAACTCGGTACAGTAGAGGTCATGTGCAGTGAAAACAGTAGGGTTGAGAATCATAACATCTTTCCAGATTTTGGTTCTAATTCTGATTCTGCAGAGCGATTTTAGCCTCTTTTTATTATTATTATTTTATTCTCACTTATTATGTATATGATGTTATGATGAACTATATGCCTTTCTCCACTGGCACTGACATTCTACAGCCTGGGTTTCCCCATTCTGCCTTGCCGCAGCACGATTTTATTCATGCTGCTAGGCAGTCTGGATACCATGAACCAAATTTTCCCCTGAAATAGGGAACCAATCACAAAACGGGAAGGGACCACAGGCGCATTTGATAAACGTTCGTAGCACCCAATAATACGGTTCTGGGCATTCGTAAACCACGCCTCAAATACGAGAAAATTTAAATGTGGTTTCCAGACCACGTTTCATTCTCAATGATACGTGGTCTGGCGTTAGACATTCTATCTAAGTTGTTTAAAGGTGCAAAACGCAAGTCCCTGAGTTTTTGCAGAACTACGCCCCCACTGGTGACAAGCGAAACTGCAACCAGATGTGTGCGCGCTCATGGATCACACAATAGACTGTAAAAAGGATCACACACACACGCACGTTTGCGCGAGCTGTTCATAACCAAAGGAGCATCAGCCGCACACATCTTTTATTACAGTCATAATGAAGTAATAAAGTAATAAATCTACAAGTCATTTGAGTAAATTACACACTTATGTGTGTGTGAGGGGGAAACGGGGGTGGTAGAAAACTTTGGTTTTTGTTTCCATCTATCTCCATGTTGAACTGTTTTATGTGCTTACTGTTTCCACTTCTGATTGTATCATTATGGAAACACGTTCATGAACAATATAAGTTATTACTTTGTATAGGATCCCGTTTGAGCCCAAGAGCAGACTCTCCATTTTGGATCTCTCCATTTGTTGAAAGCTTCCCGATGTCGACTCTCGTCTTATTCCGACGCCTGGCACTAGACAGAAGTTGCATTTTCTTTGTCTTACATGGAGTTTGGAATGAACTACAAGCCGGTCTCTTTGAATCCATCTTCTACTTTTGTGGAAAGTTGACTAAAGTTGTGTCGCTCGAGTTGTCTTCGCTGATACGGAGAATGGCGGCGAATACACAAACCTGCCAGACATAGCCAGGCGAGCGGGAACGCGCATGACGTCACGCCCAGTCTCAAATTCGAGCCCGAATCCCTCTTATTTATTTTACTGTACAGGATTATAGAGGCAATCGCAGTGATCAGAGAAGGGCTCATTCAGACCATAAGGCAATTGTATGGGTTAGAAAAACGGCTATTTTTAACATGAAATGTTGCATAATGCACCTTTAAAGTGTTTGTAAGGAGGCAGCTGTCTGACTCCGAGTTGGCGAATGGGAACGTGGTTTGTTTGAGTTTAGCAACACATTTTTATTAGCTGGTGTGAGTGAGTGGAGGCGGGGCTGATTTGCATATTCATAGAACCATGTATACTAAATGAAGCAAGGCTGTAGAGTTACATTCAAGCTATATTAAGACAAATATGGCATGTTGGTGATCAAAGGTGAGTTTTAAGGAGAAAAGAAAGATTTAAGACTTTAAGACTTTTCCATAGCAGCAGTCGTTACTTCATATCCCAGGTTTTGGAGGCCTCTTTTTTCACAAATAACTGAGTGAATACAAGTGTGTTCCCTCATTGCAGAAGAACGCAGTTATTCCAACACTATGAGCAGATCTGAATGTGGATTCCCAACCCTAAAGAGGCATGCATGATGAGGCTCTCACCAGCAGGTCTTCTGGACAGCCATAGCTGATCCCCACACTCTTCATGGTCTTAATTTGAACAAAGCTTCTCAAGGCCTTTATGGTCCTAAGGCAGCCCTTTATGGAGCCACGCTTATGAAACACGCTCTTTAAACTGCAATGATATGAACAGATACAGTAGTTAATTACACAGCCTACGCCAAAATGGATCTAAATATGACTTCTCAATGGAAATATCTGCGTGGTCACCTTTCAGGCATCTGGTCCTCTGGCACTCCACCCAGGAAGTATCTTCCTGTAAAGTTGAGCTCTTTACTGGAAAGCGAGTAGACCTTCTGACGATCTAACCTCACTAGCATTTCACCTTTGGAAAGTTGAAAGATAACATCCAACTGAAAACAAAAAAACAAAGAAAACATTTAAATGAATAAAACGTAAAAAATACAATCTAGGCATTTGGTAGGAATAAATAGAGGGTTTCACTCACAAATTTGGCCTGAGCATTGCCGATTTTGATTTTTGACTGTTGTGAGTCGGTAAGCTCGGACAACGTCCCCTCAACGTTATAGAAGACTTTCAGAAGGCCACCATGCACAGCCACAGTCACATACTTATTCTGAGAAGGGACAATCGACAGAAAAATGACAATAACTCAAGATAACGTGCCTAAAATTCACCAATCATACAAAAGACAAGAAGTCTCACGTCTCTTTGGAACGACAGCAGAATGCCGTTTTGCGAGATGAGTTTGACATTCTGCTCAAACACACGGTCGTCCTTCATAGTTTCGAACAAAACCTCAACATAGCCTGATCCATCAAAATACACTCCATCAACTGTCCATTCGGGCGTATTGGATGGCCTCTTCCTGTTTTAACACATGAAGTGATGATATAACACATGAATAACACACTCTCACAAAGAGTCAAATAAAAACCCCTCTGACCGTGAACAAGGGAGGTCGGTGTTGGTGTTCATTTGGAAGGTTTCCTCAAAGTTGTAGAGGCTAATTAGTTCTTCGTTTAGACTTAGCAACTCCAGGCAGCCCTTGAAGAAGTTTGAAGATGTTATGTTCAGATCCACAGGAGGCTGTGAGTGTTTGAGAGAGACAAACATTGAGATTGTGAGATTTCAGATAATTCTTGCTTGAGATGCACTAATATTAAAATTCTTTATGACACGTATAAACTGATATTTAGATTCATTGTATTGCAGATGAACAATAAACAACGTCCGATTTTAAAATTCTATATTTTCTCTGGTTAAATACAAAATGAAAAAACACAAAAAAACAAGTGAATTTAGGTATCTTGAAAAAATATAATGTACAGTATGAACAAATGGATATCCATTTTTAGATTTGCTAAAGATTTAACAGGTTTTTTTTTACTCCATTACTGTAAGCTAATTTTTCCTTGCCATTGAAACCTTTGACTTGCTTAAGTTAATATTCAGCAGTAATTTTATTCATTTGACTGCACTGACACTATCATTTGAGAACAAAACTTGAACTGAATTGAGCTGGAGGATGACACTAGTGTCTCCTGTAGAAATGCTTTACAGCTGAATTATGCAATATTAAGATATTAATTTTCCTGTTCATTATAGCAAAGGCGCTATATAATAAATGTGACGACATTAAATTATTAAGTATTTTTAAGGATGAACTTTAAGTGAGAGTTAGATGATGGCATATGTAATTTAAAAACAGGGCAAATTATTAAATATCCAATACTGACCTGAAAACAATAAATGAAAATATATATAACATCGGCCAATAAATGTTATGGTACCATTATATTCGCTACGTCTGAGCTTGGTAAGATTTTATAATGCTTTTGTAAGATTGTCTCTTATGCTCACCAAGGCTGCATTTATTTGATCAAAAGTAAAACTCTGAAATATTATTACATTTTCAAAAAACTGTTTCCTATTAGAATATAATAGAATAGATATTATGAAAAGTACTTTATTCCTGTGATCAAAGCACAATTTTCAGCACCATTACTCCAGTCTTCAGTGTCACATGATCCATCAGAAATCACTCTAATATGATGATTTGATGCTCATGATAATTCTTATTTCAGGAATCTATTATAAATAAAAAAGTTCAAAAAGATTGATTTGATTTGAAATATAACATTTTAAATGTCTTTACTATCAATTTTGATCAAATTAATGAATCCTTGATCCACGACTGAAACAGTAGCATATATAGTGCATCATTTAAAGGTTATAATTTACAACCTTTATTGCATTATTGCTAGGGAGTTCTAGGTGGTGTTTTCTTATTGGCCCAAGTCAAAAGTGCCCAATCCCGAGTCTCTATTCTATTCCGCTCCATAGACAAGTGTTCAGCATTACTCACACTGAAAGTCCTGGGATAACCTCCGACATAAAACACGGTCTCCTCAGCTGGCAGGTTGAGCAGGCCATTCTCTCCTCCTGCCTCCGTGATTTGTTTAACTGTATTTGTGCCTTCTGAATCTGTAGACATTGCCATCTGACCATACTGTAAAGTCCTGAACACACACAATACACAAACACAGTAGAAGTGTAAAGGAAATACAGCTAGAAAATAATATCAATGAAGCTTAAGCCCAACAGATGTGTGTCGGTATGATGCTGTGCATGTTTCCCACCTCTCCAGGACGAGTTTGTTGAAGTATTCACTATTCACGCCCTCAGTCATCAGCACCTGTGCTGTATCTCCTCCCACATTAAAGTACCAGCGCAGCTTTGTTCCTTCCAGCATCATTGCCATATAGTCCTTACTTGACTATAAACACATATACAGCACAGACGCTTGTGTTTAAATTCAATTATACACGTGTGACTTTAAAATAACAATAGAATAATACTTGCAAAATATCATAAAGCTCAATTTGCATAACATACAAAAAGTAAAAATCACTGTCAGGCTGAGGAATTTGGCTTACGTCTTTGTTTCCAAGGTAGAAGACGAACTGGGGTTTGGTGGTTTGGGTTTGCCGTCGTCTACGAGCGGCACGTGGTAGCTTGATGTACATTTGCAGTGATGAATAAGCTGCCAGGTCGGCCACGTTACTGGGCCTCCTCACTTGTACTCCTGACTTCCCATTAAACTGCATTGACACGGTCACCTGAAGCAAGGACAGTCGAGTCATTGCCTGTAGCATCACTTTATGGAATACGGAGAAAACTTTAGTATAATCATTAAAAGTTCGGGATCTCAATTCAAACACCCTCGTGATCTTATTTCAAAACAACAGCGATTCGTCTCTGACTACGACAAGTACGATCACAGCGAACAATCCGATCTGCTTGTGATCCAGAGAGAGCAGTTGTCATGTCAACAAGTCTTTTCAACCACACAGTATCAATATTTCTGTGTTACAGCAATTCAAATGATCACAGAAGTACTGGGATAAAAGTTTATAGTTCAGATATAAACACTGATGTCTACAGTAGAGATCAAAATAGAGTAAATCACCTTGTAAAGTAAATTGACGCTTCAAATAAAGATCAATTGCATCATTACACCAGTAGGTGGCTGATGACAGTTAATGTATCAGCCGTTGAATCATTCAAGAGATTCGTTCAAAAACACTGATTCATCCAGTAATGAAACAAGGGAAGTCTTTATAAGTGAGTCACTGAATCATTCAAATTAATAAGCATTAAGCATTTTGTCAGAACCTCTAGTGACGTTATTTTGTTCAGTTGTCCAATCAGAAATGTGATCTCTGTTTTAAACAATTGTGATTCTCAATTCATCCAGAATCCACTTTTTTCAAAGAGCTGTACCTTGTTGGCGGCGTTGCGAGCCTTCTCAATGAGCTGACGGATCCTCTGGATGCTGTCGGAGATGTTGGACGGCTGAAATGAGGTGTTCTGCAGACGATCCAGCTTCTTTATCAGCTGAGGAAGAGTGTCGCTCAGTGCCACCACTGCAGGAACATGGAAACACATTGGACTCTGTGTGAAAGGCAGGTCAAGGTCACACATGCTCACTCACGAACGCTCACTATCACACACACCTGACTTATTGGCGTCACTGAGGGCTTTGTTGATATCGTCGCTGGTGGCATTGGAGTCTCCGTACTGCTTCTGCCATTCCTCCAGCTGCTTCTGAATCGGAGCCAGCGCATCGCTAACATTAGCCACCGTGTTGTTAGCCTGCTCGACTGCACTCTTAGCCGCTGTGATGTCGTTCGCTATGTCTTCTGAAACATTTCAAACACATTTCAGCAATAATGTTTAGGTCATGGTTTTGATTTAATACAGCTAAACTTATCTCGAAAGACTCTAATATATACACTAGCGTTCAAAAGTGTGGGGTCAGTAAGAAGAAATAATACTTTTAGCCAGCAAGGAGGCATTCAATTGATCAAAAGTGACATTGATAATTAATTTACTAATTGTTTCAGTACTTTAGACATTAATAATGTTACAAAAGATTTCAAATAAATCCCGTTATTTTGAACTTTCTAGTCATTCAAGAATCCTGAAAAAAGTGTCACATTTCCACTAAAATATTAAGCAGCACAACTTTTTTAACATTGATAATAATCAGAAATGTTTATTGAGCAGCAAATCATCATATTAAAATGATTTCTGAATGATCATGTGACATTGAAGACTGGGTTAATTAAACTGAAAATCTAGCTTTGGCATCACAGGAATTAATTTTATTTTAAAATATATTCAAATAGAAAAAAGATATTTAAAACTGTAATAAATATTTCACAATCTTACTAGTTTAACTGTATTTTTGAGCAAGTAAATGCAGTCTTGGTGAGAAGAAGACACATCTTCCAAAAACATTTTACCAACCCCCCCCCATTTTGAATGGTAGTCTATTTAGCTTGTTATTAGTTAGGTCACAATGGACCTTGGAAGACTAAGGACTTTGACCCCTGACCTCTGCTGACGTTAAGATTATCCTGAATGTTCTTGAGGTCTTGCAGCATCTTCTCTTTCTTCTTTTCAGCATCTTGCAAACCTTTCTGTATGGAGTCCACACGTGGCTTTAAACCTGACAAATATATAGTATAGGCCAACATTAGACAGAGGTTCACAACAACAAAGATGTACCTTAATAGAAGTGTGCAAAGTGGCAGTTAGATCCAGATCCAGAGTAGAGTTTGCTGTTCTTACTTTGACTGCTGTTATTCAGTTCCTCTGCTGCCTTCACAAGCTCAATACTCTTATTCTTCAGTGCAGCAGCTTGTAGAGGCAGGTCTTTGTCCTTTATGTTCTAGATCATATAAAAATACAATACAAATCTAAATGTGTGTGACTTACAAAGGTGAATAAACTCTAAGTGTATGTATTCATGTTGACTGTACCTCCAGAGCCTCAGTAGAAGCTTCATTGGCTTTCTTAGTAGCAGTCTCAGATTCCAGTATAGTGTTTATAATGTTAGTGTACGCGCGAGATGCGTTCAGAGCACGCTGTATGAAACCGCCTTGATTGGAGCCGGATATCAGACTGCACAACAACAAACACATGACCATAGGGCAATATTACATATTAAAAAACATTCAACATGTTAGAAGAGGTTACATCAGAGAATACAAGTATGTGCACAATATATGGCCATGCCCATATTGACTAATCCCAAAGACTTTAGATATACAAAGTGCACTCATATTACTATGAATAAGAGAAAGTGCAACGTTCAGTATGGCACAATGAATGCTTTGGCAATTATGGCAATTGTGTTATTGATTAGCACTGTGCTGAATTTTTAATCAATGCACTGCATAATTTTATTTCAGTTTTTGTCCTTTAATGCACTTTTTTTTAAATAATAATGGCCATTTTTGTTACTTTAATTATTTTTAAAAAATTATCTTTACTTTTGTTTTCTGTTTTAATTAGGGCTGTCAAACAATTATTCGCGATTAATCGCATCCAAAATAAAAGTTTGTGCTTACATAATATATGTGGGTGCACTGTGTATAATTATTTTGTGTATATATATATATATATATATATATATATATATATACACATGCATTGTCACAGTCCTCCGTCTGCACCAGTCTGTCTTGTCTTCAGCACTACACTTCCCAGGATCCTCTCGTCACCCTATCCCGTGTTCACTCCCTCATCAGCCACCTGTTCCTCGTCATCATCATCTGTTTCACCTGTTCTCACCCCATTATGTTTGATTATTCTGTGTATTTAGTTCCCTCTGTTTTACCTATGGTTGTCGGTCGATGTTGAATGTTACCTCTGTGAAACCCCGTCCTCCTGCCTGTATGTTTAAAATAAATACGCTTCTTTGTTAATCTGGATTCCTCCCGCTACTTCTGCCTGCACTCTTGCACTCCACCACCTCATCCTGTGACATGCATGAATATTTTTAGGGAAAAATATTTTTTATATATTAAATATTTATATTTACAAATAATATAAATTATATATTAATCTATATACCGTATAAACATGAAAATATTTCTTATATATATATACAAGCATGTGTGTGTCTTTATATATATAAAATAATTATACACAGTGCACCTACATATATTATGTAAACACAAACTTTTATTTTGGATGCGATTAATCACGATTAATCGTTTGACAGCCCTAGTTTTTAATGTCTGTGTAAAGCACTTTTTCAATGTGTATGAAATGTGTTTTATGAATAAACTTGTTTTGTGTAAAATAATTGTTCACTTCAGCAACTTTGTGGTTGTCGCCTTTGCTACTATTAAGTATACAGGCATTGCATTGGGCATCAGAGTGCTACTATCAGACTGATACAAGCCCCAGAATCCTTTAGTTTTCAACAAAAAATGGAAAACTTTTTTTTATGTGTTTTGGCCATTGATTTACATGACATTGGCGGTTTGGGGGCCTGAAAATGCAAACTTATGAAAGCGTTTCAACGGTTTCAAACTGCAGGTTTTTGAAAATGATTAAAATTATTGTCAAAGTGTAAACCACAAAAACGTGAATTTTTGAAAACGGTGATTTCATGCACATACGTATTATGTGTTCAGTCTATAGGCGCATAGTGTTTCCTTACAAAGTGACATCGCCAACTACTGGCCGAATTACAGTAGAATTCAGCGCTTTAAGTCATTCGTTATTAAGTCATATCGCATGCGATATTTGCCGACGTTTAACACCTCGTGACTAAACAAAGGGCGCCATTGTGAGTGTGCACACGATACGGAAAACGCCACGCGCAAAGTGCAGGTTCGTGTTTTTAGTTTGACGCACCACGTCAAAAACTACCCGACCGATGAGATTGCCGCTTTTGCTCACGTGTTTGGAGCTTCCGAAGTTAGAGTAAAACACAACTTGGGCGCCCTCAAAAACAAAACGGTCTTGCCGAGCACTCATTCGTAAAAGCAAAGAAGATCTACGCCAAGTAGCGTCGCCATCTACCCTGCCAGGAAGAAATAAGACAAGGAAGATGCAAGGCAAGATGAATGTAAAGCCGCTGGTCTCGTTGGTGTTAGAACGTAAAGAACTATGACAAACGCGACAGCGACTACAAAAATCTTGCAGGTATTGCAGAGCAAATGGGCGCCATCTAATGTCAGGGAATGATTTTGCATGTTCACTCGGCTCATCGTCAGCGAAAATCGCTTGGGTGTGAACACAAAAAACGCGTTGAAAAACACTGGCGAATAATGTGCGCTGATATTCGTCCCGGTGTGTACGGCCCTCAAGTTGACCACATATGGATCACACACCTGGAGATATTCTTGGCGAGCTGGTCCAGCATTTCAGCGTGTTCCTCTGCAGCCTCCACCAGGGGAATTTTTTGGGCGGCTGGAGCGTACTTCTGCACCTTCTCAGCTAAGGGCTGTCTCGCTCCGTCCAACTGAGCGGCCAGACGCTCATAATCCTGATAGCATGAACACAGCATGCATGTGCTCAGTGATGCTCTTTGATGGTAACAACAGAAATGTCATGATTCTACAAACCTCTTTGGAGTCCTGGAGCATGGAGAGCAGATCGTTGACCTGGGTCACATCATCCTCGGCCATCTGCTTCAGGTTCTCCACCTCCTTCTGCTTCTCACGAAGGTTATTTAGTATTTTCTAGAAAAAACCAATAATGTTATTTTGAATTGAAAAGCAGTAAATAGTTCTTCCAGCAAATCCATCAAAAACGTATATACAGATTCCCATGAATATAATGTGTGGCCAATTCAAAAACAATTCCAGAATTTTTCCAAATCCTGGGTGCGTGTCCGTCCGTGTGTTTGAATGATTACCTGGAGCTCCTCCAAGCTTTTCTGGTTAATGTTGTTGGCTTCTACGGTGTGTGCGGTGTTGTTGACGGCCTGATTCAGGGCATCTCTCAGGTCCATCAGCTGCTGGTTGAACTGGTTCAGTTTGTTTTTGATGTTCTCTGCCACAGCTTCATTATGTAACGTCCGTTTTGCAAACTCATTTTTCACACGATCTACCACTACAGAGAGACAGCAACTATAAAGAACAAGGTCTATCCCCTTTAAACACAGTAAAAACACATAGCACATATAAATGTGAACACAAAATGGTAATCTTTTTTTTTATTATTAAGTAGTCTAGATTTATTTTTTTCAGTAAAACTTTTTTTGAAGACTTTATGTATAATGGATTATAAAAGTATTCCTAATGTTACTTTTTTTTTACAAATAATTGTAACCAAACTTAAAAGGCTTTATGATATTAGCAGATTCCTTGTTATCTGAATATAGTTGTTTGTGATTGCATTATAATTTCTAAAAGTGTAACCTTGAATAGATAAGTATTAAAATGTATTATAACTGTGGTGAGATGCATTACATGGCATACTTAATGCATTAAAAATACTTTTACTATTATGCATTATATATAAAGGCTTTAAGTAAAGTGTTTCCCATTTGTCCAATCCAACATCAAGTACTCACAAAGGATTATATGCCTCGAAAGGTTGTAAAACGATCAATAAAATGAAAGAGGCTGAAATTGCTGAACATTTCTTATAGACTCCTGTCACTCACACTTGTTGGCTTGCTCCAGCTCATTTCCTGCTTGTCTCATCTGGAAGTCAAAGCTCCTGAAGCGCATGTCTCTGAGCATAGACAGCACCTCTGCTATCTTTCCAGCGAAATCCTTCTCATCGATCGCCTTGGTCTCATTCCGTGCAGTCTGGTTGACTTGCAGTATAATGTCTGGGTAGATGCAGAAAAATTGTCAGTTGAATGTAGCTGTAATATATTTAACTATAAAGGGTAAATGTAATAAGACTGGGATTTTTTTCCAAGTATCTGCTCTACTTTGTCACATTCCCACCTTGCACATCTCTCATGATGCCTTTGATGAATCCAAGCAGGTCTTGTGCTCTAGTGTGTGTGGAGTTAGTGTTGTCCTCTAAAGCATCTCCTTTCTTTTGCGTGACCGATGCCTAATACACAGAGACACAGTCAATATGGTCAAATGGTTTTAAAGTCCCTTTGGTTTGAAAACAATGAGTTGATCTGGTGGCATGTCATACCTTCTCATCTAACTCTTTAATATCCGAATCAATGATTTGCAGCTCCCCCTCCAGCAAATCGGCCCGTTTCCTGCTCTCATCCAGAGTGCTGTTGTAGTTTCTTATGGCATTCTGTAGCATAAAATTATAGTTGGTTATAATTATAATATCACACAACTAAAATTTAAAGTGGGGGAAATCCTAAAATGTAAAAGCTGAGAGAGTGTTTGTGTCTGAAAGAAAGCGAGACTCACGGCAATGTCCTCCATAGATTCACTGAGGCGGTTTAGTTGAGTCCAGGCCATTGAGCTGGCATTGAGGTTGGTCAGCTGATTGGCGACGGACTGATAAAGCTGGTTTATCTTGTCCAGATCCTCCAGCAGAACCATCACACAGCTGTCACAGGCTATACATAATGCACAACAATCATTTGATCATCATTCAATCACATCTAATGAGTGAAATGAACTCTGAGCAACCTACAAAAAACATTGTTTACTTTGCCTTTGTATTGAAAGAGTGAATTAATTAATGACTCAATGAATTAGGACCCCCCTCAAAAACGAGATGTTGCATCTCAAGGGGTTTATCCTAATCAAATAAATTTACTAAATTATTCAGTTATTGAGTGAGTATGGAAGCTTGTTTCCGCCACTGAATATAAAAATAAAATAAATTCTGACTTTTTATCTCACAATTCTGACTTTATTTCTCAGAATTGCGAGATATAAAGTCAGAATTGCGTAATATAAAGTCGCAATTGCGAGATATAAAGTCAGAATTGCGAGATATAAAGTCAGAATTGCGTGATATAAAGTAAGAATTGCGAGATATAAAGTCAGAATTGCGAGATATAAAGTCAGAATTGCGAGATATAAAGTCAGAATTGCGAGATATAAAGTCAGAATTGGGTGATATAAAGTCGCAATTCTGAGAAAAAAAGACAGAAGTGCGACTTTTTATCTCACAATACTGACTTTTTTCTCACAATTGCGAGTTTATATCTCGCAATTCTGACTTTATATCTCATAATTGCTAATTTATATGTAGAAATTCTGACATCTTTTCTCAGAATTGTGAGATATAAACTCGCAATTGCGACTTATCAGGCTAATTCTAAGAGAAAAAAACTTTTTTCCCCTCAGAATAGTTTAAATCTCACAATTCTGACTTTATATCTCACAATTCTGACTTTATATCATGCATTTCTGACTTTATAACACGCAATTGCGACTCTATATCTAGCAATTCTGACTTTATAACTCGCAATTCTGACTTTATAACTCGCAATTCTGACTTAATACTCGCAATTCTGACTTTATGTCATGTAATTCTGACTTTATAACTCGCAATTCTGACTTTATAACTCGCAATTCTGACTTTATAACTCGCAATTCTGACTTTATACTCGCAATTCTGACTTTATATCTCGCAATTCTGACTTTATAACTCGCAATTCTGACTTTATATCTCGCAATTCTGACTTTATATCTCGCAATTCTGACTTTATAACTCGCAATTCTGACTTTATATCTCGCAATTCTGACTTTATATCTCGCAATTCTGACTTTATAACTCGCAATTCTGACTTTATAACTCGCAATTCTGACTTTATATCTCAGAATTGCGAGATATAAAGTCAGAATTGCGTAATATAAAGTCGCAATTGCGAGATATAAAGTCAGAATTGCGAGATATAAAGTCAGAATTGCGTGATATAAAGTAAGAATTGCGAGATATAAAGTCAGAATTGCGAGATATAAAGTCAGAATTGGGTGATATAAAGTCGCAATTCTGAGAAAAAAAGACAGAAGTGCGACTTTTTATCTCACAATACTGACTTTTTTCTCACAATTGCGAGTTTATATCTCGCAATTCTGACTTTATATCTCATAATTGCTAATTTATATGTAGAAATTCTGACATCTTTTCTCAGAATTGTGAGATATAAACTCGCAATTGCGACTTATCAGGCTAATTCTAAGAGAAAAAAACTTTTTTCCCCTCAGAATAGTTTAAATCTCACAATTCTGACTTTATATCTCACAATTCTGACTTTATATCATGCATTTCTGACTTTATAACACGCAATTGCGACTCTATATCTAGCAATTCTGACTTTATAACTCGCAATTCTGACTTTATAACTCGCAATTCTGACTTTATACTCGCAATTCTGACTTTATGTCATGTAATTCTGACTTTATAACTCGCAATTCTGACTTTATAACTCGCAATTCTGACTTTATAACTCGCAATTCTGACTTTATACTCGCAATTCTGACTTTATATCTCGCAATTCTGACTTTATAACTCGCAATTCTGACTTATATCTCGCAATTCTGACTTTATATCTCGCAATTCTGACTTTATAACTCGCAATTCTGACTTTATATCTCGCAATTCTGACTTTATATCTCGCAATTCTGACTTTATAACTCGCAATTCTGACTTTATAACTCGCAATTCTGACTTTATATCTCAGAATTGCGAGATATAAAGTCAGAATTGCGTAATATAAAGTCGCAATTGCGAGATATAAAGTCAGAATTGCGAGATATAAAGTCAGAATTGCGTGATATAAAGTAAGAATTGCGAGATATAAAGTCAGAATTGCGAGATATAAAGTCAGAATTGGGTGATATAAAGTCGCAATTCTGAGAAAAAAAGACAGAAGTGCGACTTTTTATCTCACAATACTGACTTTTTTCTCACAATTGCGAGTTTATATCTCGCAATTCTGACTTTATATCACATAATTGCTAATTTATATGTAGAAATTCTGACATCTTTTCTCAGAATTGTGAGATATAAACTCGCAATTGCGACTTATCAGGCTAATTCTAAGAGAAAAAAACTTTTTTCCCCTCAGAATAGTTTAAATCTCACAATTCTGACTTTATATCATGCATTTCTGACTTTATAACACGCAATTGCGACTCTATATCTAGCAATTCTGACTTTATAACTCGCAATTCTGACTTTATAACTCGCAATTCTGACTTTATACTCGCAATTCTGACTTTATGTCATGTAATTCTGACTTTATATCTCGCAATTGCGACTTTATAACTCGCAATTCTGACTTTATAACTCGCAATTCTGACTTTATACTCGCAATTCTGACTTTATATCTCGCAATTCTGACTTTATAACTCGCAATTCTGACTTTATATCTCGCAATTCTGACTTTATATCTCGCAATTCTGACTTTATAACTCGCAATTCTGACTTTATCCTCGCAATTCTGACTTTATCCTCGCAATTCTGACTTTATATCTCGCAATTCTGACTTTATATCTCGCAATTCTGACTTTATATCTCGCAATTCTGACTTTATCCTCGCAATTCTGACTTTATGTCATGTAATTCTGACTTTATATCTCGCAATTGCGACTTTATATCTCGCAATTCTGTTTTTATTTTCAATTTTTATTATCAATGTTGAAAACAGTGTGATGTTGCATATTTTTCTTAAAACCATGATACATTTTTCTCAATATTCTCTCATTTATTGGAAATAGATATCTTTTTAATGTTATAAATGCCTTAACCGTCTGAGCAGTTTAGTGCATCCTTGCTGAATAAAACTATTACTTTCTTTAAAAATTTCTTACTGACCTCAAACTTTTGAACAGTACTGTAAAAAATGAGTGAGCAAAATGAATGAATGCATATGTAAATGAGTGAAGTGTGTGTTGTCCAGTGAAGCAGGACTCACGCTGACAGTGCACATCTACTCCATGTTGCACTACAACACTGTGTTGATTGAGACATGTGTCACACTGCTTCCCTGTCAGACCTGTGGTGCAGCGGCACTCTCCTGTGCGAGGGTCACAGCGACCTCCCCTACACTCACACTCTACAGACCACACACACACAAACATCCCTCATTAAAATCAACAGATCATGTGTAATATTTCCTCCTGTTGCGTGTATGTGTGCTTTAGACTCACTCTTGCAGCCATTGGGGCTGTAGTCCCAGTAACCTGGAGCACACTGGCGGCAGTTCGGCCCATTGACCCCAGGCTGACAGGCACACGAGCCATTAGCAGGGTCACATGGCTGAACCAACGCCGCCGCTGCGTCACAATCACACTTACGGCAGCCAGTGCAGGAGTCAAAGCCAAATGCCCCATCCTAAAAAAACAAACATTATAACCACCAACCGCTGAGACAAAACAATAAATAGGCAAAAAAGATAAGCAGACATACCTCACATCTGTCACAGTGGGATCCCAGCACGCCAGGCTTACAGTGGCACTGCCCGGTGTGAGGGTCACAATGTGCAGTGCCACAAGGAGAACAGTTGCATCCTGGGTAGTGCAGTTGGGGGGAAAAACACAATAAAGAACACTTTAAACACCTTCCAGATGACAGATGTGCATTAGAGAATATATAAATTTGCCTTACGGGTGCAGTTCTTGGCTGTGATGGCATCACCGTAGAAACCAGGGGCGCAGATTTCGCAGTGCGGCCCGGCGGAGTTGTGCATGCAGCTCTGACACACGCCTGTCAAAGGGTGGCAGTCGCTGAACAACATGTTGGGGTCTGAGTTTCCATTGCAGTTGCACGGCTGGCATGTGCTGCCAATCACCATTGGGTTTCCATAGTAACCAGGTGCACACCTGCATTATGAATAAAATTAGCAATTTAGCGATTTTCATTTATGATTTTTAAGTCCACTGTAATTCATTATTTAATAACAATAATAGTAATAATAATGTATTATTTTTAAATTTATAAATGATACTTTATTTAACCCTCTGGGGTTGTTCGTTTCAGAGTCACACTCGGGGTGTTCGGGTCCAAATGGACCCAAAGGGCGGGATTCATATTTAAAAAAAAAAAAAATCATGATTTGTTTTTTACAATATTTTTTCTTTTCTTTTTTGGTGTTTTGAGAAAATTTCAAATATAAAAAAAATTATAATTAGTATTAAGGCAATAATTATGACAAAATTTCCACCCATTGAACATAATAGAAAAAATATTAATTTTTTTTTTTAAAGCTGTGTTTCATTTTAGAGTCAAGCCTAGGCCTCATAAAAGCAATTTTTGAAATGAGATTGATGCCATCTGGTGGACAAACTGAGCATTTTAAAAATGCAAAACACATGTATAATCTGAATTTTTTGGTGTGTGCGTGTATAAAAGTGTGTTTGTGTGTGTGTGTGTATCTGGATGTGTCTGTTTTGCACTCTTGATGATTTATAGATTCATCCCTTCACTGTTGTGTACTTTTTTTCAAGATCGTGGGTGATTTGTAGATTGTACACACAAAACAACTCAGTATTTTCACATTTTTGCCAATTTCCCATTCATTTTCCATGCGGGTCCATTTGGACCCGAACACCCCAAGTGTGACTATTTTAGTCTACACTTAGTCTATTCACATTCTGTCCCCAATTTTTTTGGGTGTTCAAATACCAAATATCAACAAAGTCACCAAATTTCGGACCATTCCGAGGAAGCTGTGATTTTAAAAAAATTTCGGGTCCATTTGGGCCGAACAACCCCAGAGGGTTAATAGAACACATGTATAATTTATATATTTTAAATCATTTTATTTAAACTGCATTTTTATTTTAGGGCTGTCAAGTGAGTACATTTTGTTGTTATGTAATTAATTATATGATGTACTGATCAATTAATCTAGTTAATCACAAATTAATCTCAAATCAAATTTGGCTGTTTGTTTCATATTTGTGGATAGTGGATGTTTCATAACTGTACCTTTCACACTTGGATCCAGCATAGCCAGGCATACACAGACACTGCATATGCTTGGGCTTCTCCACACAGCGGATGGCAAAACTGATAACAAGATAAAACAGATAAACATCCTTTACTCTGAGAATGACGGATGCTAAAATCAGCTATTTTGGGGGATTAAAGACCAGGAAGAAACTGGCACAAGCAAATCAACAGAATAAAATAAAATAAAATAAAATAAAAAATAAAAACAGAAAAAGGTAAATGAGTTTTCCAGATGATGAAAAACGGGCACTGACTTGTTTGAAGCCACTTGCAGCGGGCAGGGGCAGCTGGAGCAGGACACGGCATGGCCATCAACTGTGTTGTTACCGTGAAAACCGCCCTGACACTTCTCACAATGGTTTCCAGCAGTATTGTGGCCGCAGTTCTGTGTACGAAGAGTTAAACTTTCATCTGAAGGCTAATTGAAGGTCTGAGTCAGCTCCGACATCCATTTATGGTTTTACAACTTTGTTTTCCAGGAAGTTTGACATTTTACTATACCCAGTGGAATTTGCAATAGCAATATATTGCCCATGTTGATGTCTCACATGATTTATATACGACTTAGTGAGTTGAACTCACCACACATATCCCAGAGCCATCCAGACACTGATCAGAGTGACCGTTACAGTTGCAGGGGACACACTTCCCGAGGAACAGCCCTTTAGTGTCTCTGTAGTAGCCTGGAGCACATTGCTGAGAGAAGGAGATGAAGAAATGAACATGTTAAAGGGATAGTTTTGACCAACAATTTGTTATCATTTACTCATCCTCATATTGTATGTTTCTTTCTTTCTGATGAACACAAAAGAAGATTTCACAGAATGTTGTTAATGGTAACCATTGACTTTCATATCATTTTTTCCCTAGTATGGAAGTCAATGGCTACTGTCTGGTTACCAACATTCTTGAACATATCTTCTTTTGTGTTTAACAAAAGAAAGAAGTGTGGAAACACTCTTAAAGGAGTAGTTCACTTAAAAAAAAAAAAAACTTTTGCTGATAATTTACTCACCCCCATGTCATCCAAGATGTCCATGTCATTCTTTCTTCAGGCGAAAAGAAATTAAGGTTTTTGATGAAAACATTCCAGGATTTTTCTGCATATAATGGACTTCAATGGGAACCAAACGGTTCAAGGTCCAAAAGACAGTTTCAGCGCAAACTGCAAACTGTTCAAAGGGATTTAAACGATTCCAGACGATGAATAAGGGTCTTATCAAGTGAAACGATCGCTCATTTAAAAAAAAAAAAAAACGAAGTTTAAGTTTTATAAGCTCAAATGTTGACCTTGCTCTGTTCTGTGATGCGCGTTCGTGACTCTCCTGTTCAAACTCGTTTTTCAAAATGAACGAATCTTTTTTCGTGTCATTTGGTTCATTCAACGAACTAAATTAACAAGTTGACTCGGGAAAAGATTCGTTCATTTTGAAAAAAAACGAGTTTGAATAGGAGAGTCACAACAGAACAGAGCAAAGCGACCATTTGAGCTTATAAAACTTAAACTTTTTTTCTTTTTAAATTAGCGATCTTTCTGCTTGATAAGACCCTTATTCATTGTCTGAAATCATTTAAAGCCCTTTGAACAGTTTGCACTGAAACTGTTTTTTGGACCTTGAACCGTTTTAGTTCCCATTGAAGTCCATTATATGGAGAAAGATGCTGGAATGTTTTCATCAAAAACCTTAATTTCTTTTCGACTGAAGAAAGAATGACTTGGATATCTTGGATGACATGGGGGTGAGTAAATTATCAGTAAAAGTGATAATAAAACAAAAGTGAACTACTAGTTTAAATAATGCATCAATACAGAACTGTTACGCCAATATTACTTTAACCTCTAATAAGCATTAAATCATAGTATAGAAGTATTGTATAAAATCCTTGTTTTTGTTAAAGCTCACTACCTGACAGGAGTCTCCTAGATAGTGTCCTGGGCACAGACAAATTTCAACGTTGTTGGCATGTCGACCAGAGGGCAGGTTCTCTGCCGCCTCCAGCACAGCAGCGCGCAGCGACACGGACTGGGCCGACTGAGAGTGCAGCGCTCTGATCTGCAGGGACTCCAGCGCCACCAACACCATCATCAACTCCTCACGGGACACAGAGTTCCCAGTCTGAGCGTGCCTGAAACTCTCCTTTAAATGAGAAAGAGGAAACTCGAGTTACAACAACTACGCATTTGTGGAATTATTTTGTACACACGCATACAAACAAACTCAGTTTGGTCATGTCTGAAAACCATATTCTTTTTTGTAGTGTTTGTTTCCTCACCTCCACCAGGTGGACGATCCCATTATGAGGGTATTCAGGAGAGGAATACTCTCTTTCCATGTACACAAGAGTCATCTGATTCCCCTGCACACACACATATGTTCAGTTACACTCAACTTCAACTTTATGTAACGATTCTAAATAAACTTGACAGAGGGAGAGTCTCAGCTGCTCTGGTACCTTGAGGATAATGTCTGGCCGTGAGGTCTCAACCATCAGAAAAGCATCACCTCGCATCGTCTGGGTGTGCAAGCTGTAGCGCAGATAGCCTCCGTAGGACGACACCTACACATACACATGGCAAAGAGAACACAACATCAGGTTAAAGAGGACCTACTATGCTTTCAACTTTCTTTGTGTAATGTTGCTTTTTAAGAAAGCAAATTTACAAGCACAAAGTCACTCCAAAGAGACTTCTCCATATCAGTAAGCACTCCCAAAAACGCATTGATTGTAGTTTTCTTCCATTAACGAACACGTCACAATATTCATCATTTAAAAGGGGTCATGAACTGCATTTTTGTATTATTTTATAGTATTTTCTTGGGGTGCAGTTAAAATGTCAGTATGATTTTTACATTAAAAATAGTCATAGTTTAGAAATAAAAGGTCATTTTCTACACTAGTTTTAGCCCTCTGATTTGAACTCTCTGTTTTGAGGGGCGTATCTGCTGTGAGACTGCATTGTAAATGCCCACTGCTGTGATTGGCTAACATCTTTGCATATGGAATACATATTACATGTGTAACTCTCTTGAAATCTTTTACTGCTTTTGTACTATTACAGCTGTTGAGATTACAGTGATGTGAATAGGTTTGGACACCCATGCTAAAGTTGCCTAAAAAGAGGAATACAAAAAAATCATCTTTTGGATATTGATCTTAATGCCTTAATTAGAAAAATGAGGAAAACTCCAATCTTTAAGGACACCAAAAGATTCCTTTTGGTGTCCTTTTAATTCCTTTGATTTTTATTGATTTTTGATTTTGATTTTTTAATTATTTTTATTTTTAAAAGCCAGTTATTTCATGGATCCAGGATAATATGTATAAAATAGAGTATAAAATGGACCCACATCAGTATAAAATAGACACATAATCACACACCTTCCACCACACCTAGAGATTGGCATGGGGTACTTTCCATAAGACCATCTTTCAATGCAAATCAAACCAGCTATTAGGCTAACTGAAGTAAAACCGTGCCAATCTCTAGGTGTGGTGGAAGGTGTGTGATGATGTGGGGATATTTTAATTCCAAAGGCCAAGGGAACTTTATCAGGATGCATATTATCCTGGATCCATGAAATAACTGGCTTTTAAAAATAAAAATCTGCCTGACTCTATGGGAATTTAACATAGGGGTGTCCTGGCTTATGCACCCTGTATATTAAGGAAAAACATTTATTTATTCATGATACATTATTCATTCACAAAGAAAATTTGTGTCCTTAAAGGTTGGAGTTTTCCTCATTTTTCTAATTAAGGCATTAAGATCAGTATCCAAAAGATGATTTTTTATTCCTCTTTTTAGGCAACTTTAGCATGGGTGTCCAAACTTATTCACATCACTGTAACTAATCGTGTAACTAAAAGTGTAGAGCATTATATACCCCCGTCATAACTTGATTTCTGCACTCTCATTTATCATAACTAACAGTGCAAACACGATGTAAATAAGAGATAGTATCATTGACTATAACGGGAGTTTTGGTAAAAGTCCAGAACTGAGTCACTGATTAACTCGCGCTGATTGACTGACAGCTCAAGCGATTATTAAGGCAGCGATCTGTAAATATTTTAATCACAATTTAAATGACGGATTATTTCATGGTACTAAGAGAAACAATGTCAATTTGATCATTTAGTCACTGGCTTGATTCACTGGCTGTTGTATTAATGTCGGGTCCATTTCTTACAGTAAAAGTGTGTTTGCAAAGCCTGCGCCGAAACTGCGCCTGATTTACCAAAGAATCCACAGTGAAATGTACCGAACAAACAAATAAAGCTCTAGTGAGACATTCAATCCAATCACAACACAATGGTCCATCCAACCAATCAGAGCAAACTGTGCTTTTCAGAAGGAGGAACTAAACAGAGCATTACTGACACACTAGGAAGAAAGGTGCTTGTAATAATGTAAAATTGTAAAAAAAAATAATGTTTTTTTTGAACATTCAAGCATGAAGACCTATTCTAACAGACCCCGAAAACTAAATCAAGACTTTGAAAAATGGCATAATATGGCCTCTTTAAGACAATAATTCCTAAATCTGCAGCCTGCATTTCATCTCGGCATCAACATTTAGCACCAGACCAAACAAGGTGTGCGCGAGTTATCAGATTATATTGTTTATCTGACCCTTATGTTTCCTGCAGCTTTAATGTGAGCTATCTGATGGAGATTCAGCTGTCTCTCTGGCCCCTTACAGTCTGACCGCCAGCTAACCCATAAGCTTGGTTGAAACATATGTTACTGCAGCTGCCATGACGCCACAATATAGGGATGAGAGCACCTTTAAAATCTAGGTATAGAAGATCAGAGCACAGGAATGCATGACCGCATTTGTCCTGCTCTTAGAACATCACGAATTGTTGTGGACTCACTTTATCGCCGAGGTAAGTGCGAGGAGCGTGCCAGTGCAGGTCCTGAGAGACGTCAGGTACATCACTCAGATCCGCCTCCACCAGATCTTGCTCGAGATGCGAGGACACAGGCACTTCCTGTCTGTCACTCCTCAATAGTACCCAGCCAGCCATGTCCATGATCTGTAGATCAAAACAAAAGGATCACTGAAATTGTACACCACACAGTATGATTTATTTTTTTACAAACCTCCATTACACAAAGAATTACTGAAAGGGAGTTTTAACAGGCAGTTCAAGCTAATCACATCTCATATAACTGATACAATGAGTTCATTCAGTGAGAAATTTGGAATATGCGAGTCTTTTTTGAACAAATCATTAAAAGAACCAGCTTGTAAGGGTCATCTGTAAGTAAATCAGACTACACTGGTTGCGCTGTATGTTTGTTTCTGCATGTGCCGGTGACGACAACTCAACAGACAGATACTGTAGTGTGGCTGGAGATTCAACGGTAGTGTATATGTTCATGTATAAAGGTGACTGGATTCATTAGGTCTTTATCTTTAGGAGAGTACCTCACTCCTCCGCTTGTCAGAGCTGCGGCAGCGGTCAGTGGCTCCAAAGCAGAAGCACTTGGTGCAGCCTTTAGCGTTAGTGGGGTCCAAATGAAACGTTCCCAGTTTGCATTGGTCACAGCGAGCGCCTTCCACATTTTCCTGAGAGGGATGACACATCATTGATATAACAGAGAGGAGGAGCGAGCTCACTGATAATGGATATATAAATTAATTCACAAATGATATACTGTAGGTGCAGAAGGAGAGAAGGTCAACCTTGCATAAACAGCGTCCGGTGAAGGAGTCACACACATCTATCTCAGTTCCTGCCTCGTTGCAGTCACATGGTCTGCAGTTGGGGTATCCATAGAAACCTGGGCTACATCTGTCACACTGACGGCCAACAATGTTGTTCTTGCACCTGTGGAGAGAGTAATGTGCTTTGGCATGGTGCAAATAGCATGAAGTATGTAGGTATGTGTCTTCAGTGCCAGCTGACACTCTAGAATGGCCTGCAGTTCCTACTCTCTGGTTCACGTCTGAATGAAATGTGACAATGTCCTGTGGAATTCCACAAAACTAATTGCCAAACTTATTGTGAGCATGTGAAGACCCAAAATATGGGCATTGTACTCAACCAGACCCAGTCCACATAACAAGATCTTGGCTTTGCCTTAAGGGACGTGACACACCAAACTGACGTTAAGCCATCAGCCAATGTTGGGCCATCGGTGAGCATCTGTTTGGCTAGGTTTTGTGGTGTACGAGAAAGAATGCTGTGGGTTAACTTTCTGAAAATGTGTTTCCAACACTTTGAGATCCAGAATAGGACGAAATGAACAGTTCTTCTTTGGAATCAGGAAATAACGGGAGTAAAAACCCTGTTCGCACCACCCAAGCATCCAATTGCACCATAATTGGTGCAATTGGATGCTTCTGCAGAGGTCAGGTGTGGATGCCCTTCCCATGGGTGGATCTCGAAAACGAGATGATGAAAGAGAACGGCCAAAGTAATTTTCCATTTATCCAGTTATAGTTAATGAACATGACCTAAATGGATGACGCATGAACAGTTTATGACATTCTCTCAAAGTACAGGGATGAAATTCTGAAGCTCACAGTCACTGGAGCTCAAATCCCAAATCCTATTTTAAACACTGCCTAATGAGGAGATAGTGCGGCCAATAGACTGAAAAAAAACCTCCTAAAAATAAGTACCTCTGGAATTCCTGCACTTAAGCCTTATTTAGACAGTATTGTTATAACTAGAGACAGTGGTTAATTATATCAGTCCTTCAGGCAGTGCTTCACAGAAAAAAAGTTTGGCTCAGGCGTAAAAGCTCAGTTGTAAACAATCCATTGACTCCATTCCAATCCAAATGACTCGACTTCAAACACCAGACACACTTAGTCTCACAAATATTATGAACTTGTCCATGGCATATCTCACCCCGAAATCAAAAGAACAAATTACAATAATGGTCCTATTTTCAATTCTTCTTTTTTCGTTTTACAATTTTTAATATATAAAATGAAGCACATTTGCACAAATTTTCATTTTACTCATTCAGTAGTTCATAGAGATGAAACGGTTAGCTGCCAATAAATGAAGAGATTGAGTACGGTTTTCGACTTAAGATCTAAGCTTAAGTTGAATGCGTCCTGGATAACTAAAACTGGAACTAGAACTAAAACTGAAAAATGAAAACCATTAAAAAGTGTTCCCATTCAACTGGAAAGAAAATGAAATAAAATAAAATATAAATATTAGAGGTAAAACTTAAACTTAAATAAAAATGTTGCCTTGGTCTCTAATTGAAATAAAATGAGTTTAAGTAAAAGTACAAAATTTACTAAAACTAAAGCTTAAATAAAAAAAGAACATTCAAATTATAAATACTGTAATAGTATATAAATATTACTATAATAACCATGAGTAATTAACATATTATAATATAGGTATAAGGAAAAGGTTTACTGACTTAACTCTGATGAAAATAATCTCACAAAACAAAAAGTCTTGATGGTCTTAAAATAGACTGGTTCACACAAAACACAATTTCTTATTTTTCATCCAATTGATTTTGAGGTGGAAACATTTTTGTGAGATCCAAATCAAATGAAACCATTTGAAAATAAATCAAATTTCAAATCACATATTCATAAATGTTCAGTTCCTCAAAGTCATCCACGTGTGTAGCATGACCATAACGTAGTATATGTGCGTGTGTCATGCTGTGCAGTACCTGCACTGGCCGTTTTGTGCGTCACAGCTGATGTCCAGTGAAGTCACTCCAGGCCTGGAGCAGTTGCACACCTCACACCCCACCAGAGGATGGCAGCCAAACGTCTGGGGTTCACAGGTGACACATTCCGGCAGAATGGTTCGTGGAGGACAGATGCACTCACCCGTGACAGGCTCGCACAGTCGTGTACCGCAGTTACATGCTAGAAAGAAAAGAAAACATCATCTATGGATCAATCAATCAATGCATTGTCCCACCATGTGGCTGGTGTTACTCACGTCTGCAGTTGGGGAAGCCGTAGTATCCCGTGGCACACTGGGAACAGTCTCGGCCAATCACGTTGGGTTTGCACTTGCACTGTCCACCAAAGGTCTCGCAGGTGTCGCTCTCCGCACCCACTTCGTGACATCCGCAGGGCACAGCGCCATTATTAAAGAACGCAGACAGAGACACGGCAGAGCTACGGCAGAATGCAGTGGCTGTGGAAGGGCTGAGAAGAGAGAGGGAAGGTTGGGAATGAGGGTACTCTAATAGTGTTATTATAGCAGACAATGTGCATGAGCGATAAATAGCCACACCATGTTGGTCGATATTATTTTAAGGTATTGGCATCAGTTGTTTTTGCATAATTAATTGTGTCATTTTCTCTGTTTTTCCTTTTAAATTATTTAATTGTCTAAATTTAAAAACTCTAAAAACACTAATATTTTAACAATACTGTTAATTATAACCTTTAACAAATCTCAAAATAAATATATATCCATTTATATATCCATCGCGATTAATCGTATCCAAAATAAAAGTTTGTGTTTACATAATATATGTGGGTGCACTGTGTATAATAATTTTTTGTACGGTATATATATAGATAAATACACACACATGCATGTATATTTAAGAAAAAAAATATTATTTATATATATAATATTGATATTTATATATAATATAAATTATATATAAATCAATATACAGTATATACATGAAAATATTTCTTAAATATATACAAGCATGTGTGTTTATTTATATATATAAAATAATTATACACAGTGCACCCACATATATTATGTAAACGCAAACTTTTATTTTGGATGCGATTAATCACAATTAATCATTTGACAGCCCTACTGTACATTATAATGTTTAATTCCTAAATTCACTTGTAACTGTTATTTCAGTATTATGTATACAATTATTTATTTCACTTTTAGTTTAAGGTTTAGTGATTTTGCTATGTGCTTTTTAAAATAAAATAAAAATTCTCTCTAGCTTTAGTTTATTTTTATTTAGTAAAAATAAACTAAAGCTAGAGCTAAACTAAAGCTTTAGTTTATTTAGTTTTAGTAATTTCAGTACTTAAACATATTTATTTCAGTTAGTTGCCAAGTAAACATTCTCATTTTCATTTACGTTTTTATGTTTACGTTTTTAATCGAGTGCATTTTTGCTATTTCAGCTTTAATCACCAAATATAATTCTTAGTAGTTTCAAATTTAATTAACAATTCATCTTTTTTTAATGTTCATATTACATTTAATGTATATATTTTTCATCCATATATAAAAATAGCCTATAATTGAAATATTTGTCATTCATTTTTGTCTATTTTAGTCCATAGCATGAAAAGGATTACTAGCCTAAACTTTTATATCGGTGCATCCAAACATATTTCCAAATTCAGAAATGTCATACTTGATGTAAAAGCTGTTTTGTCCACAGTTGCTGATGAAGTCATAGGATTTGTCCAGAGGCTCCTCAAACAAAAAGCTGGAGCTGTAAGTGCTCTCTGGCACCACTAGCACATAGTCCTAAAACACAAACACAAGAGAGTGTAGTCGAGTCATTGTTATTATCATTCTTGAACAAAATTCGAATGAACCTTTAATACAATTTCATAATGACACTCACCAGCCACAGTGTCTTCCTGTCTGGAACACGCAGGGTCAGGATGACCTCGTGGTCCGTCACATCCAGGATAATCTGGTTCTCAGACATAACAACACTACGGCAACCATAACCATGGGGACAAAAGGATGCGTTGACGTGGCCTGGAAAACAGAGAGTGACCATTAAAACAAATATTTGTATTGCTAAAACACAACCTCAATAGTGTGCATCTGTTTAAAGCTCACCCTGCCATATGCGTCCTCCGTTGATGTAGACCTGGACATTGTAAGTTGCGTGCAGGGGCTGATGGTAATGCAGGATGAACACGTAACGGCCCAGTGCATGTACACGTGTTGAATACACCACAGCGTTCTGGGAAATCATGCAGACAAATGAACATTAGTGTCAACATTCAAGGATCAGAAAGAGACGACCTAGAAGACAGGAGGCACAGGATGGATAAATGGAGGTTCATTTAAAGCAATAAACGGTAACAGATTTTGGACAGCAATGTGAGAGGGCTTGATGTACCTGATTAGGGTCCAGAAGCACGTGTTCACTGTTATCAGCTGCGGTTGGCGGCCTAGAGGTCATGGGTCTGTCTGCATAAAGGGAGGGATCGGGGGCTGAAGCCAGAACTTGCTCCGGCGCAGAAGAAGCCTGACCCTCTTTTAGGACCAGAGACTGAGGAGGATTCTGGAAACGAGACGGGATGCAGGAGCCGCTGGACAAATAGAATATAAAATTTGACGATTATTAGTACTTATAACTGTAGCATATTCATATGTCATGTGTCAAAAACTGGCAGTATTCAATGACAGGTCAGTGCTAAGGCAGTGAAAGAATAATGTTTTTTTTTAAATAAAATAAATTGAATTAAATTAAACAAAAAATAAATTAATAAAGAAATAAATAAATAAAACCAGGTCCCATGGTTCGGAGCGCATGTGATTCGCAGATTAATTGCGAAGTTTAACCATCACAGAGTGAAAGTTTATCATTTGCATTTATTTCTAAGTTTTGCCAATTTAAACATTTAGTTGATTTTAAACCATTCAAACGCAAGGAGACGCGAAAGAGAACTCAATTCGGTGTTTGCACACTGCTATATCTGTGTGCACAGGACGCTCAGACAGGACGCGAACACTGAATCGAGCTCTTTCACATCTCCTTGGTGAGTTTTAACAGACAAAGAAACATAAAAATATCTTAAAATATTTAAGTATTCTCATAAACACAGTCAATTATGTCTAAATTGAACATAAACAGTTGAAAGAAATTGAATGTGTATCATTATATTGGATCCGAGCATTAGGTCTTAAAGTGACAGCAGCCTAATATACCTGCTGCTGTCTATGACATTGATGTCATTTACATTCACATTTATGCATTTGGCAGATGCTTTTATGCCAAAGCGACTAACATTTCATTTCAAGGTACACATTTACATTCTTATCAGTTCTTGCTTTTCCTGGGAATCGAACCCATGACCTTGCCAACGCTCTACTGTTTTAGCTACAGGAAAGCTGTTAAAACTGATAGACCTTACTTTATTCGTAACTTTGTTATATTGTATACATTTCTGTATGTAATTTGTGCAGTTGCTCTTATTTTATTACTAACTATTCACTCATCTTAAACCGTGAGTTTTGTGATTTGTTGCACAACTAATTTGAGTGTAAAAAAAGTTCGAAAAGTTGCACACCCAAGTGTACACACCAAAATAAAAAACAAATAAGATAAGAAATTAAATCAAATAAATCTATAAAACAAGTGTGTGATTGTAGAAAAGTTAGAAATTGTTTAGTTTACACCCGAACATTTAAGATAAAATAATAATAAATCCTAAATTAAATAATAAAAAAAAATAGAGTAGCCTAGTAAGTTATACCTAAATAAAAACTTAAATAAAAATAATAAAATAAAATAAATTCCAAAATGAAATTATCTACAAGAGTTAGAAAGGTTGTGCAAAAAAAAATTTATGATCAAATAAAAATTAAAAATCACGCGATGCAACAATCAAAAATCAATCGAAAGTCAAAAATGGTTTCAATTAAACAATCAAAATGTTTGATTGAAGCTCTTCACGATTCAGATGTATGTGTTAGTCACCTGTCGGGAGAGAATTGACCGTGTGTGCTGATGCAGTGAACTTTGGGCTTCAAGTACTCCATGGTGAACTGAGCACGAGGGACGAGGAACACTTTGTGCTGGGGGGAGGGGGGGGATACAACACACACTTGTAAACGCCATTATTACAGTGGACAAAAATAGCTTTTATGGCCGAATTCAAGCAGACATGCTCTCTCACAAGGAAGAAACTGCTTCTTCTATCGGTGGCGGCAAGCTGGATATCAGCCTCTGCGGACAGAGTGAAGACCGCCACACGCTTCATGTCATCTACAGACACTGCACGGCACAGGAAACTACACACACACACATACATAATAAGAGACACACAGAATTCAATCAGCAAATGTAGAAAATAAATATGAAAAAAAGACCTACTGAACAATTAAATGGGACGTGAAAAATTGTTGTGGCAGCGATTTTACATTAAAACAATAAATATGACTCATTTCACATGCAAAATGGCCATTCAATCATAAAAAAGGTCATATAGAAGTGATATCAAAAACAGCATGTTTAATTCAACAGGTCAGAGAGAGAGTGTAAAATCCTAAAATACTACAAAATTATAGTATATGACCCATTCAAGTTGAGAGTGAACCTGAAGCACAAAAGAGCAGGTCGAACAGAAAAGGCAATCGTTGCAACGTCACACCTGTATCTGCAGTGGAGCAGTGTGATTTGCTCTTGGTGAGTGGGATCACCCGGTGAGCTGACAGACACAGTGAGTGTTTGAGGGGCTTGATCTTCACTGGCGTACTCGACCACCAACACGTACTCTCCAGGGACGGGAACGCGACCACGCAGCTGAACGTTCATCTGAACACACAGATGGGATTTTATTCATAATGTTCAAACATTCAAATATTTTTATGCTTATGTTTTATTTGCTTTGGATGTAAACAGCTATTGTGCTTACATCATTGCCACTGCAGATGGCCATGCTGGGATGGCGAGGTGTGATCTTTTCAGTTTGACAGGGTCTAGGCAGGTGATTATCAAACCTGCAGCTGGCATCATTACTGGAGATGGACGGGAACTCATCCAGAGACAGATACATGTACTGCAGACAGCTAAACGCACCAAAAAAACAAATTACTTCAGTCACATTGCACATAAACAGGTATAGACATGACATATACACACAAAAAGTAACTGTACTACTGACTTCTGGCTTGCGCTCTGTGTGTTTCTGTATGAACAGGGTTCAGTCACTTGAAGTTGCAGGATAGGAGCCTCATAATAGGCACTGGGCAAAAGCACCAGGTAGTCCTGCAGAGAGAAAGAGACACAGAATGTGTGTCCGGCATTTGCTCAATATAATGTAGAGGGAATGTTTAAGAGGTGGTCCTACCAGCAGAATGCCCTCCGCCTCAATGATCACAGTCCAGGTTCCCGGGTTCAAGACGAATGGCTCCACAAAACTGTTCTGAGGCACGTTCACAAACGTGGGTTCTGAACTGGGTGCAAAGACGATCTGTTTCGACTGCTCAGAGCCTGCAAAGAGAAGGAACGAGATCTAATTTATGGGTATGGAGTCACAGCATTTATTGAATTACTAAAACATTACATGTCTCTAAAATTTGTTTAAAAAGTTACATATTGTTTATTCATTATTAATATCAAGATATTAATTGTTGTACCAAAAATAGTTCATGTAAAATGAAAAAGCTGCTCTTCATTTACTTATGTAGACTTTTTTTTAGTTTAGCAGAAGTTTAGCAGGATGTCCCAGCTGCTCTTTTCCATAGATAAAGAGTAAAAGGGGAAGGGAAAATCAAAATTAAAACATTTGAAATGGTGAACGGGTACGTTTACGCGACAACGATGTACTAAAAATGGAAAGGTTTTTCCTTTGCGTTTTTCCTCGTACAGACGTCAACATTGTCAAAATGATCCCTTTTCACACGGATCCAAGAAAACGACTATAAACGCTGTGTTCTGCTGCCAGCGTTCTTAGATTACTTAGGTTCTTAGTAAAAGTAGAGACACTTGCTGCAAATAAGCTATTTACTAGAATCATATATATATATATATATATATATAGAGAGAGAGAGAGAGCTCTAAATTGAGCAGCATCTAGTTATACTGCATCATTTATTAAAAAATAAAATAACATAATAAAATAGTTAATATACATCAAGCTTTACAAGTCTTCTAAAAATGTTAAGCATGCATTAGCTTAAAAGACAAAAATGATTCAAGTAAATTGTGTAAGAAGTGCAAGAAAAGTGCAAGAACCAATGACATGTGGCATCACTGATGACCTTGTATTATGCTTCATATAGACCCCTTTTATAGTAATATTACAATGCCTTTTTGTCATAGTTTTCATTGTATGGAAACGAGCAGCTCGGACATGCTAAAACTCTCCTTTCGGATCAATAGAAGAAAGTCGTGCAATTTTGCATGATTCTGAACGTCATGAGTAAATGATTACAGATTCATTTTCAGGTGAACCTTGTTACTTAAATAAAATAGAGGAAACACCGTAATTAAAGGGATAGGTCACTTTGAAATGAATTTTTTATATGTTTTAGCTTACCTCAAGGGCATCCAAGATGTAGGTGTATTTGTTTCCGCAGTATTTTCAATTTTGACATTTTTCAGTCAAATCGTTGTTGTCTATCAGTCATACACTGGAGGCAAAGGGGGTCCACCAAAGAGCATGCACAGAGAAGTCCAAATTAAACATGATTTAATGACGTGTAAATGTAAGTACACATTGATGGCCTAAGACACGAAACTAGCGTTTTTTGTGAGAAAACGAACAGTATTTATATCGTTTTACCTCGTGTAATCACAGTGACGTCCAAGTGATCTGAATCAGTTGTGTAATGTCCAACTGAACCAAACTGAATCAGTTCAATGTTACGCCAGAAGTGATCACTTGCGTGTGACGTCACTCAATATTTACACAGAGATTTCAGAAGTTTTACCTTTTAACATATTTAGATATACCGAAATCGTCTTCCATTGCGGTTTCCCGTATATCTAAATATGTTTAGTGAAAGGTAAAACTTCCGAAATCTCTGTATAAACAAAAAGTGACGTAGGCGCACAAGCGATCACTTCCGGCGCATGCGCAGACCGAAGCGCCCGTGCCGTCAGATCATTTTGTCATAGCTATGATTACAAGAGGTAAAAACGATATAAATACTGTTCGTTTTCTCACACAAACCGCTCGTTTCGTGTCTTAAGCCATCAATGTGTACTTACATTTACGAGTCATTAAATCATGCTTAATTTGGACTTCTCTGTGCATGCTCTTTGGTGGACCCCCTTTGCCTCCAGTGTATGACTGATAGACAATAAAGGTTTGACTGAAAAATGTCAAAATTGAAAATACTGTGGAAACAAAGACACCTACATCTTGGATGCCCTTGAGGTGAGCTACATATCAAAAATTAATTTTAAAGTGAACTATCCCTTTAATAACAATAAAAATAATAATAATAATAATAGTCAAAAGTCCAAATATTTCTTATCCGGTACCTCAGTTAACAGAAAGAAAGCTATGGCAGTTCAGAACTACGACACTGAACCGTCAGACGTACCTCTTCTGCTGCTCTGAAAGGCTGTGATTTTACCGTTCGACACGGCCGACCGCGTGTTTACATATCTGAGGATGAAGCGCGTGAGATACACGTCTGCTTCACGTACGTGCACCATCATTTTAACCGTATTCTGAGATGGAGGACAAGGAAGACAAGGAGAAGGGGAGAGAGAGGGAAAGAGGAGGGGAGGGTGTACAGCACATAACAAGGCCTGAGTTAAAGACCTGATCTGTGGCTTCCTGATCAAGCTGGGGGTGATCATGTGATAGAGCTGAGATGCAGGTTTTACTGTGAGTGTGTCTTGAATATGGGGAGATGAAGGATGGGGAGATGGAGGGCCGAAAGAAGTCACCAAGTAGTAAGGAAGGTAGAAAGATGGAGAAAAGACATTATTAACACAGAGAGGTGCTCAAAGACTTACAATTTCCACACAGGAAGTGTCTGCCATCCTCGATCACAGAGACCCGCCCCCTCACTTCCACGGCCCCGCGGTTCACATAGTGCAAGACCACATGAAACAGGTCAGGAGAGCCAACCACCACCTCAACCAGAACCCGAGGCTAGAGAGCGAGAAAGAACGGCCCACAACAGAGACAATTGCAAAGCTGTTCCTTAAAGCCACCACCAACCAGCACTACAGCCCAACACAGCAGCCAATATACGCAAGCAGCACCAATCAAAACCCTTGATCAAAGCCCTCCGCCAAGCCAAAGACACAGCACAGTTCAATGACACATCACAGTGATATTCTGCATTCTGATATTATATAAGTTTACACACACATGCATGAACATCTCATTCGTCATAATTCATAATATTTATTTAAAATGTACAATCAATTTTTATTTATTCACATTATATTTAATATTATTACTTTAACAATATCTTTAAAGTCTAAATGGAAAAGCATTCATAACATATTTTACATCTGTTATGTGATATACTTTTTAAGCCCCTTTCACACAGGCGCTTTGATCCCGGGAATTGACGAAAACGAGAGTATGAACGCA